TATATATATATATATATATATATATATATATATATATAAAACAAACTATGATATATATATATTAAATAGACCACATCATCATGCTATAACCCCTATTGATATCTTCTTGCAGGACAGTCATGTGCCATTAAGAGAAATTTTAGTGGATAATGATTTTCCGGCTATAAAATTATTGGAGAACGTTAAGAATGTAAAGTCATCATTAAGGAGTGCGTGTGACTGGAAGAGTTCGTTTGTCCTCTTAATTTTGTCAATTATATTTTACAGAATTTTCTGAAAAACTTTTGATCTGGATCATAGTTGTTTCCTTTTATACTATTTAAAAGTTTTTACAAAAACGATGTATCATTTATTAGATCTGTCGGGTGTTGAAACATACAAGTATAGTGAGTCTCTCCTGATCAATCATATAATAAACGGGATCAAGAAAATGGGAAATCTTGGTTTTTCTGACAGTAAGTGTTTATTAGCTTTATGTCGTCACAAAATAAAGGAAATTTTTTTGGAGTTAAAATTGTTGTTCATCTTTTATTTTAATCTATTCATCTGCTTTTATTTCGGTCTTTGTTGTCGACGGATCTTGATCTTTGCATTATTCTTCTGGTTTAATTGATATTCATAGGTAATGTATAGAAATACTTATTTCTAGTTAATATATTACTGTACACTTTTGTATATCTAATGTATAAAAATGCATTACATAGAAATAGCTCCTTATGGCAGTTAACTTAAACATGAAGTTCTTTGAAGTATGGGATAATTGAGTGAAATTTGCGGTCTGTTCTTTAAAAATGTTCAAGATACATGTTAGGAAAATCTGAAAAATTATTATGATAACAATATTTTCAGGAAAATGCTTGTGAATTTAAAGTTTATTCGTGGTGAAAGATAAAAGTTTTCTGTTTTCAGAACAAAGCTTTGACTCTATTGTTCGCGGTATTCTAGAAGAGTATCTTCCAGGTGACATACTAAACTTAATCAATGCTAATTACATGTTATGCGATAAAACTGTGCCATCTAAGAAACGTAGAAATTCTAATTTCAAAAACAAAGATGATGAAGGTGAAATAACTGGAGATGTATTCAAGAAAATACAAACAGTGGTGAGTTAGGTGTTCTGTAAAGCAAGAAGTTTCAAGTACATCCTGGATAAGATTTCTTATCAATTAACAATTCGCGTATTTTAATATTTTTTCATTTTGTACTTAGCTTATTATTAACGCGATATACAATCAATATGTTAAATATTACTGTCTTGGTATGATGGTTCTATATTTCAGTAGGGCACTCGTGATTCCGGGAACTAATATTATTTTTTTCAGGATTCTTGTACAAATTCAGTACCACACAAAATTCCTCGACTGCGAGAAAACAAAACGTTAACTCATTAATTCTTCATTGTTGGGTCGTGTGATACTCTGTCATCTATTCGCATTAATTTGTTGATGCATATGTTTTTTTTCTTGCTCTGATCTCTTTTTTCGTTGTTGTCATTTGTTGATGCGTTTTGACTAAGTTTGCACGAAACATATACTTAAGATTTTGTGTTTTAGAACGAAAATAGGTGGTAGACTTTTGCAGATTAGAATGTATAAATGAAATTTTTTTCCAGATCAGGAAAGCAGTTCGAAGTATCGTTTACAGTTGAGTGCATTTAAAATTAGATATTTTTAGTGCCTGTTACTTTAGTTGTCCTGTTGTCTTAGTCTTTCAATTCATTTTTTTTTTACACTTTCCAGCATCTGTTTCGTCATCAATCAGTTCTTAATAAATTCTTTATGAAATTCATATCGAAATGTTTTGTTTCTGCAACCATTGATTGGTACATATGAAATTATGGCATCAGGAGCATCGGGAATGTAAATCGTATTATTCTTTCTTCGCTGATGTAAGTTATCAGCTCCAAGCATAAGCTTAAACGGTATGTAGTAACTGCCTCAGCTATTCCGAGGTAGAATAATATGGCCTAAGAGTGTCTGTAACTAAAATTTCAAATAAGTACTATCGTTGACATAACCTCTTGAATTTAGGGTAAGGTGTCAATAATTTGTTCTTCGCTACATTTGGTGTGTGCCAATGGACAAGTTGGATACAAATTTGTTGAAAATAATTCGCAATAAGTCTGCGGGGACTGTTGCCATTTTTGAACGTTCCGTGAGTGTGATCTTGCCTTGTACTTTTGGTATTGTATAGATATGAAACTGTACTTTTTATAAAATATATTTGGAAACAAAATGCAGAATTCAGCTAGTTTTTATCTCTAGTTCGCCATTTGATGTTGGATTTTAGGATGTCTATTCGTGCTATGATGATGATGCGCTTTTTATTGCGAACAAAGTATTCTGCAGTGAAGTGGGACTCCGTCGATGTGTCGTGGGTAAGAAGCCCATTTTATGCTTAATTTGTGATCAAGAAAATGAAATATGAGACAGCATTTTATCATAAACAAAAGTCTCCGAATTGACTGATAATTTTATCTAGTTTAAAAAGGTAATACTTCTTAGGAATAAGTTATTAAAGTCCTCAAAGTTGTAGTTAGTTGTCTATAGGTGGCACCGAACTAACCTATCACATTTTGAATAATTCACAATACATTCGTGTCGTTCGCGATGCTATCTTGGCGCATCACTATCGTGTGGAACTCTATGCCGCAGACAATGGACAGTGGGAACTTAAAGCAAAAGTAAGCGTTACTAAAAACCTAGCTCGAACAGTTGAAATATTTATAGTATGTTATAAATAATGACGCTCACAACGGCCGAGAAACGAAAATGAATTTCTATTTATTCAAAATGAGAAAACTGCACACCAGTAAGTTGTTTCATAATTTCCAGACCAATTCATTATACAGATAGAAAATTTTTTCAATCTTCCATAATTTCTTTATCATTATATTGGCCGCTTTTGTCATGAATTTACTTTTTGTAGGGTTCATTGGGATCTTTGAATGATTTCGAAGAAGTAATTGGGGACAGTCCTGAGTTGTATGAGCTTTCAACAGTTGCTGCTTTGACTGTTACAGAAAGGCACGATTTTGCAGAAGTACTGTTATTTTATATTTTTCTAGTTTAAATTTCTGAACTTTCTATTAATGACTATCAGAAAAGAAGTTAGCTCTTTGATTATAAACTTGATTAGAAAAATTGCAACAATTTGTTCAGTGTTTGGTTTCCATTGTATTCTGTAACTCCCGAGAAATGCAGTTTACAATCGCTGAATTTCTTGACACGGAACATTTCGCGAGTTTGGAGGTGAGATATGAAACTTTTCAGTTTATTATTAAATTAATTCAAAAGATTATGTTTGCTGTTTATGTTTGACTAGCACAGTTCTTTAAACTGATTATTGTAGAAATGCATAGCTGCATTGATACCTAGAGAATGTATTTTGATTCCAAGTGAAACGAGAAGAATATCAACAGTCAGTTTTATTACTGAAAGCAATAATCATCTAAACACAGCTTTGAGAAAAGCTGGTGTGAAACAAAGTTCTTTTATTTTTGATGAACACCTTTCAGCAACATTTGCTATGCAAATAGCGAAAATAGTCGATCCGAAGTACAAAGGTAATTTTTAATAAATCACATTATATTTTATTCATAGAACTGATTCACACATCTCCCTAACTTACATTATTGCTGTAAAGTAAGAAATTTTTCCATGATAATGTTTAGTGATATAATTTAGCAATCTAGATTATTTGTAAGTTTTTGGCTAATTCAACTTTGCAGTCGCATTGTTTCGTTTCAGATGTTCATCTCTCAAAAGCGCAAGAAAGGTGCTTTCTAGGACTGATCCAGTATTTGCATTTAAATGACGAAAAATTAAAAAGTGGTAAATTCCGTCTGTGCGATTATAAATCAGCAGGTTTCATGTATTTGAATTCTGCTGCTGTAAAAGCTTTGGAATTGTTTTCTGCTTGTCAGGAAGGTAATATGTTAATTTATAAACTCTTCCATCTATACATACCCTTAATGCTCTATTTTGATTGAATCGTTCCATACATGATAAGATTGTTAAATTTATTTAAATTTTATTTTTTCAGAAGAATTAATGAACGATGCAGGCTCGCTTTATGAATTCCTAAATAAATGTCGCACTCCTCAAGGACAGCGCCTTTTGCGTAAGTATGCCTAATAATATGTATATAAAGCATAATGTGTTAAATTTGAAAATTCATGTTATTAAGAATTTAATTCAGTTATCCTTCATATTACCTGTAGCGCAGTCAAGAATAAATTCTAGGTAATTGGGTACGACGACCTTTATATGATAAACGAAAAATAATTGAACGTTTAAATGTGGTTGAAGCTTTCGTTAATAATTCATCGTGTCGCACTATTCTTCATAAAGATATCTTGCGTCGAATACCTGATATCACCGCAATAACAAGAAAATTTTTGCAAAAAAAAGCAGGCCTACAGGTTTCTTATCATAAAGCTGTTGCATTTTAAGGACCTATGTCTTAGTGAAGCGTGAAGCTTTGTCATCAATCTCGGTTAAGTAGAAAGATGATCTAAAGTTCTGTTTTTATTGCTACAGAAGCTTGTCTACTGTACTTCTAGTTACTGTCGAGAGCAATTTGTCTTAATTTGAAGGAATGCTATCGTCTTTACCAAGTAGTTTGCTTGCTAAAGCGATTTTATCATGCACTCGATGAGCTTCATGCTTCTTGTGGTTCCTTGTCATCATCGGTTAATGATTTATGCTTGGTAAGCCTAAACAATTATTTTCATATAATTCTAGAATGTATAATAGAGATTTCTCATTCGTTACGCCTGTAGTTCACGATATTTATGTTTTTAAATTTGAGATTGTTTCAGGAACCTCTTGTCATGGCACAGTTGCAGTTTGAAAAATTCATTGCATTGATTGAAACAAGTTTGGATTTAACTTATTTCAAAGAGAGTGGATTGTATAGAATCCAACCAGATATCGATGAAAATCTATCAGTTGCTTCTAAAAAAATGAAGGAAATTGAGAAAAAGTGTAATGTTTTACTTAAAAAGGTGATTTTCCCTTTTTTTTTCGTTTTTCACACGCTGATTAAATGGATATAAATAATATGCAAACAAAATATTTAAATATATCATTGCTCAGAATGCAAACCCTAACGTGTTCTTTTTCATTTTCAGATTAGTTCTGAAATTACCGATACAGTTAAACTCGAAAATAATGAGCATCATGGATTTCATTTTAGAGTCACTTTAAAAGTAAGTTGTGTGCTGGTTGACAATAATTGATATTTGAATACTAGAAATTATCAAGCTTTTTAGTTAATTCAACTGACCCATGGATCTATTTCGAGTTAAATACTTTCACTCATTTGATTCAAATTTGCTCTCCATTTATCATTTAAGCTAAATCAGTCTTTTTTAGGCTGAAAAATCTATTCGACAGTCGAACATGCGAATCCTTGAAACAAGCAAAGGTCTAGGAGTACGTTTCACTTGTAGCGATTTAGAAGTTTTAAATCGTGAATTTCTAGTGCTCTTATCTCAGTATGAAGCGATACAAACTAATTTTATTGAAATGGTTGTCGAAACATGCTGTGAGTTCTTTCTTGATTAGAGTTCCTTCAGTGAAACGTATTATTAAATTTCAATTCAAGCAAAATACTAGTTGGAAAATTACCAGATCAGGACTTTTTTTAGCTGGCTACGTTTCAACATTCCATGAGTTATCTGAAACCGTTGCTGTAATTGATGCGTTAGTTGCACTGTCAATAACTGCTGCTGAATCTCCATTCGGTTACGTTCGACCACAGATACTTGATGAGGGTCAGTTTTATTTATTCTGTTAACATCTAACCACTTGCTGCTGGTGGGGTTAAAACTTGTCAAACTTGAAGGTGAAGCTTCGTATGTTTAAAGGCCCAAACTACTGTTCATGTAATAATGTTAACGAGCATAAAACTGTTGTACCTACTGATGAAGAAAAGCTCTAAATTTTTCAAACTTCTGTTGATTGTAAGTAAAAAAATGATATCAGTGAAACTCGTATGATTTGTGTTTAGGGACCCAAACTTTGGAATTTAAAAGCTGTCGACATCCAGTTATGGAAGGAAATCCAGATTCTCCACAATTTATTGCCAATGATATATTGTTGGGCAATGACCGAGGAGGTGAGAAAGTTATAGAAGACCTTTCTTCATCCCGAGTTGTGGAAAATGATACTATTGTTTTCAGGTGGTGCAATGTTTTTGATGTTGACAGGAGCAAATATGGGAGGAAAAAGCACGTACTTACGTTGTTGTGCTCTCACGGTTCTTTTGGCTCAAATAGGCTCATTTGTCCCATGTGAGAGCGCCAAACTTTCGCTTGTAGATGGCATTCATACAAGGTTTTTCTATTCATTTATCGAACATGATTAAGTTCACACTGATCTGTGGTACTTTTAGAACTTTTCGTTAGTCAGAAAAAACTTGCATTTTGCGTTTCAAAGTAGATCTGTCCATATAGTTCTTATCCATTATCTCCATTATTTTTACAGAATTGGCAGTTGCGATTACCAGTGTAAAGGACTTTCTACGTTTATGGTAGAAATGAACGATTGTACGTCGATTCTTGAGGTGTAGTTTGATCTCATGGGTAAAAAATGTATGACCGAAATACTCTCCTCTCTCTTAACTAAATTATGTTTTGGTTTGCAGTCAGCCACATGCAATTCACTGGTCATTGTGGATGAACTCGGACGTGGTACGTCGACATACGATGGCTTTGGATTAGCTTGGGCAATCGCACAGTAGTTACTTCACTATGATTTTTAATATTTTAATTACTTACAACAATGTAGCCTGGGTATTATGATTAAATCTGCAGCGGAACATTATGCAATTTTAGAGATATCGTTTCGCGCCTGAAATGTTTTTGCATATATGCCACTCATTATCATGAATTGACTGGATTAACTCGTTTGTTCCCAAAAGAAATGCGAAATGTTTGTACTGCTTGTCAGATTGACGAGAATGAACGACTTATTTTGCTCTATAAAATAATACCAGGTGTCGCGGGTCGTTCATTTGGCCTAAATATTGGGAAAATGGTTGGGTTACCAGACCATATCCTTGAGGTTCGTTCATATCTAAGGTCAAACTATTGCTTTAAATTTGAGATCCGACGTTGCTAGAGACACTTATAATACATTTTTTTAAAGTGATGAATCTTGTAGACTGTACATTTTTTAATAGTGATGAATCTTGTAGACTGCTAAAGATATGTTGGGGAAACTGATGCCGGAAAGTGTGAACTTGAGTCCCAAGGAAGAAGAATTACTCAGAAAGATTCGGAACCTTGAAGAAAGTGAATTACGCCAGCAGCTTCTTTGCGCTTTAAATGATCAGTCAGTCGGCTTTTCTCTAGAGTCCAAACAGTCTGAGGATTCAGTGTAATGAAACCAACTCTTATTAATCCATGAAATATGTTCTGCAGTACAATTCTTTGTATATACCTATGTGGACATTGCTTTATTGTTGCATTCAAAAGTACTAAAACTGCAGCACGAGTTAAAATTGTAATTGAAATATGTACATAGAACTCAAAGAAAGATAAATATGATACACGTGTCCGGACTTAATTTCTTGGTTGAACCAGATAAAAGTATCGAGAACTCTGCCTAAAATGAAATACAAACAATCAAAATTTTTGGTTGATGGCCCTCAATTTACATCATGCCCAAAGCTTTCTGTTATAAAATGGAAGCTGTAGTCCAATCTGTAAACTTTCGGTTGTGTAAGTGAATATCCAAGCGTTCATAACTTTCTTAGAGTAAACAAACAGTAGCAAGTAATTAATCTAGAATCATGGAGACGAGTCGGTTATTCGACAAATCAGAAAGCAATATTTCATGTCGCCTCTAGTTTCTTTTCCGGTGTTCCTTTATTGGCAATCAGGAAAGGGACAGGTTCGTTGGAACTAGCAATGCTGTGGTAGTGAGGAGGATCATAGAAATCACACATGGCATCTGGGCTCGGGTCACGTCCCTAAAGAAAAAGTCATTAAGGCTAATGGTGATTCCTATTGGGTGTATTTGTTATTTGATGAATATGAGTTAGTAAAAAACGTGAGACTACTTATGCATAGTATTGTGATGATAGTTTTCTAGAAATGGATGCAAACCTGGAATCGCCGATAAAGTTCTCTTTGTGGCTGGCTGGCACCTTCAATCAAAATCGTTTTTTTCAGGCGATCCCCAGTAGCACAAACATCATTTTCTTTTTCAAATGTATCGTGGATGTCGAGAGCCAACATCTGAATGAGTACCGTAATTAGAGATAATCGATAAATCAGCAGTAATATGAAAATATATACAGTACCATCAAAGTCACATCTACTTTACAAGAGGCAGAACGGTTCTTCTCGCCACTTAGGATCAAAAGATGCATCTTTCACAATGTAATAAAACTGAGTATTTCAAACGAATTATTGAACCGATGCTTTTTCCAATGTATCACTATCGAATATCTTAAAAATGTACTTCTGTCCACAAGCGACTGTAATACATGCCCATTGACATACTTCGACCAAAAATAGGAGCAAAAGAACATGGTTGCATGTCATTTGTGGCTCGCTTAAAAGGAAAATACTCCTTCAGTTTGTCATCATATATTTCTTGCCAAATAACCCTCAACCGTAAACAATTAAGAAACAAAGAGATTAAAATATGAACGTAAAAATTCATGCAGCAGATGTAGGAATGATGACTCAGATTTTTCTCATTGTCATACTAAAATTCTTAAAACAGATAGAGAGACAGACAAGCAACTATTACAATATTAAATTAGATGTAGTAAAAGTACTTATACCAATGAGCTGACTTAAAACGAAACAATAAGGTACATGGCAACTTACTGATCGGCATCTTTCATGTCAAACAGTGAGAGGTCGAAATCTGCCCAGAAAAGGGTACGGTAAGTTTCATAAAATGAACCACGTGATAAAGCCAGTGCAATATCATTTGCTTTAGCTTCCGATAATGGCTCACCGGTTTTCTTCAGAACAAAAATTTTTATCAGTATTTTGCACAAAATGTTGCTTATAAAGAGACTGATTATAAATAAAATTTTACGGCTAAACCTTGAGCAATAAGTACACTAGATAAGCAACGAGTAATCCACAAACTTACTAAATGTTTGGAAGATAAAGCAGCCAACAATAAAGGCTTGAAAACGAAAAACTGAATAAAAGTCGGAAGAAGATCTAAAGCGTCAACATCATGGGCTTGATAAATTGACCATGGTATTGTTAAATCCCTATATGGTGACTGGGAGAGCAGAAGCTGCATAGCACGACCAACCTGCAGTATCATGAATAAAGAAAAGGTATAGCACTCAAACAGCTTAACTTGTTAAAATATATAAGAAACTTATTTTTCTTCGCTAAGTCTAAAGAGTACGATTAGTGTTGAGTGCCCCTATTTAATTCGTGAAAGAGTGACTAAATTTGAAGTATGTTTTAGTACTGCAATAATACATATTCAATAACAGGATTAATCAACTAACATAAAAAAGAAGATTTTGCAATTCATCATAATGCAAAAGTGTACATGAGTCTTGTGAACTGAATTCACTAAGATTAGCAAACATATAGACAATTTTATCCCATCCATTCCCTGTGCTGCCTGCAATTTTACAAAGAAATTGTTATCTTTAAGAACAGTAGATGAATTTTGATATGCTATTCAATGAAAACTTATCTCGTCCAAGCAGAGTATCCCAACCACAGCATTTATTTCGTCGTTCAAAAGGGTCGACATATAGACGACCCAAATGTAGCCCTAAATAATAAATTCTTAATACCACTGAAGCCTTTTGTGAGTACATCCGCTTCAAAGATTTCACTAGGCATTTAACGTGAATTAAAGAACGTAACTACGAAAATTCACCACCTACTTACCAGTAGAATCTGTAACAGAAAAAATACGGACATCTGGGTGACACCGATCAAGATTTTTGTCCGTCACATCCTTCAAAAAATTTGTAACATATAATCAGGTTATAAAAATGAAGTCAAAAAAGCAATAAAGAGTTGGATTATCCAAGAGGTCTATAGCTACAACAGTAGTTTTCAAACCTTCCTACATTGTATTACTCCTATTTCAAAAAAATAAATTAAGAGAACTTACTTTGAAGAATACACCAAATACGTATGAAAGAGTCTCTAAGATGTTCTCGAATGTTGGCCAAAAAGGAAAGTGATGCATGACATCCGTAAAGTCGATTCTGTAAAACAGACGTCTATTCATGCATTATTCTATTCTTTTAACAAATCAGAAATATTATAAATACTATTAGTGAAGACTATAACAAAAATATTGTGGACAAACTCATGAAAACTCTCAGCTTCTCTACGACAAATGTAATATAAATCAGCGAGAGTCAATGTATAAATTTTCTCTTCTTCTGCAGCAAAAGTGGACCATGCCTGCATTCGATCATTAAATAAAGGTCTCATCCTTCTTGCCAAACTAAAAACAAATTATTTAAGAGAGAAAAGTATTCTTTAGAGGAGAAAAATTGTAGTAACAATGATTACAAGTAAACCATAGCATCTCAAAATCTAAGAGGTAAAAGCAATAAAAATTTTGTGAGCAGTCAGAGATAACAAAATGGACAAGCATTCAAATTTTTAATGAAATCATAAGTTTAACTAACGCTTTCGTGAATTTCCGTACAATTTCTGGTGATTCCGCCATCTTATATGCTAATCGGTATTCAGCATAAGTAGAAAATCCAAGCACAGCAGCTTTTTTTGCTCTAAAAAATGAAACAAAGCAAAATTTTTGTTAAACTTATACTTCTAAAATAGTTAAATTTCTAAATCATCTTAATCAGATCAAAAACTGCAAAAAAACTTTCTCTTTCTTTAGAGAAAGGATTATTTTTCAAAATGAAACAATCCCAAGAACAAAATGAAGCATAGTTTGGCAATGTGGGTAATATAACATTAATAACGAATAAATCTAAATGAAACCAGTAATAACGCTGCAAAAATACACTAACTGATGTCTCCTGATCGTTTCAATAGTTCTAGAATTACTGGTTACACGAGCCAAACTATGTGGTTGAGAGGCACGAGAAATCCAATAATTCCAAATATTTGCACGAATGGCCTTATCAGTACAATACGTTAGCAATGGCTTTACTGACCTCGCTGATGCAGTTATCATCCATGGTCCTTTTGCATACTCTTTTCTGTGAAATAAGCAAACTTGGCGAAGTTTAAATACATTAATAAACGCATGAAGTCAATTTTCCCTCCCCTTATTTTCACTAATTTTATAAAGAGAAAAACAATTATGAGAAGGCATGTTAGATTTACTTATTTACTGCAAGTTGCCGCAATACTTGAGGAGGTGCATCCTTCAATACTTCGCGATCAGTGATTTCAATATTTTCCATTGCTTCTGAATCTCGTAAAACCAATCTAAAAAAAGCAAATCTTTAAGCAAGAGTTAACCTTAAGCATCAGTAGTATGTCAGTGATGACAACTTAAAATTCTATAAACGAGGAATGACTTTTGAAACTCATGAAAATCATGGCTGATATGAATTTTACCCTACTATTTAAAATGAACATTTGAAATTCCAACAACTCAAGTAATAAAATAGGAATGTACCTATATCTAAGTATATAATGTTCAACAAAACTGTCATGTCCTGCAAATTGTTCTTGTTTTTTTTGAGTTTCTTCCATAGCTGATAACTTCATCTGAAGATAGTAAAAATCGACAAGTCGACGTTTCCATTTGTCTGTGATTTCATTTCGTTCATATAGTGTCTGCAGCAAAATGTTAGATATATAGAGTGGAAAGAAACAAACTTATGTCAATAACATCACTAAAATTTATGACTTTAAAATTGAAAGTTTTATGTGAAAGGAAGAAAATGAGAGCAAATAAAATGAAAACATCACGCACGCCATTTTAAATAGTAATAGTACAATTTGTAAAGGAAAATAAGAAACTATGTTAGTCTATCTGTTTATTGTAAGTTATTTTAATACTTGAGCAGATGAGCTTATGGAGTAAAGACTAGCATTCAGGAAATAAGACAGTATATAATATTTAAGAGCACTTTCTGCAACCAAATCTTGTTCTTGTTCTTTTATAAGGCACAGACTATACTTCTAATGATACCTACTTTAATTGCTTTAAAAAAAATATCGTGCTTCCATTTGGCAGAAATTTCATTGATGGCCAATTCATGAATCTGCAATTAAACATACATAATACCAAACAAACAATCTTTACTGATTTCTAAATAACGCTTCGAAATTCAAAATGAAAACACACAATAGTGCTTCGAAAATCAAAATAGAAACAAGATAGTAAATTTCTGAATTCAAAAATAATACGTACTCCCATAAAATCGATATGTAGTTCTTTGGAAATAGGCCAATCTGTTACCATACGCGTCCAGAGCGTATGAAATGCATACAAAACTTGTTCTTCTTCAGGAATAAATGGTTCAATAACGTTTTCAAAAGTGAAATCCTCTGGTTTTGCTGATCAACAATATAGTTATATTTCCATGAATATAAAAGAAATTAAAAAGCGTAGAAATTTTCACTACTGTTGGAAAGCAACATCTAAGATGATTAGCAAAAAAATAAATTTCTAGAGAATGAGAAATCAAATTATGAAATGGTCGTAGCTCTTGAAATTCTGTAAAGAGCCAAGAAAGATGATAACCTAGAACGAAAATAGCAAAAAATCTTAAAATAAAGTCGAATAAAAAAAACTCACTTTCTTCTAATCTTTTCATGTGATCATGTATTGTAGCTCCATATTCCAGCAACATTCGGACTGTTCCATCATACATTTCTAACGCTAAAGTTGTATTCCGAATGTTAACATAATGTTATAGTAATTTTCCATTCGTAGTCAATATATGTAACTGCTTTCCTTATGCACAAACTCCCCAAGTAACAAAAAATCAAGGGTATAATATAATTGAACATGATTTCAATCCAGCTACAGCTCCTCGCAATGCACTTAGCATTTTATACAAGAAATGTAAGAAATATTAGATCATAAGTTAGTGAAAATCTTACGAGAAAGACCAAATACTGGCCAATCTTCTGCATTGTAAATATTAGCGACAAATCGGTTATTTTCTGGTGTTGCATTCGGTACAATAGGAAATCTGTACCATACAACAGATTACCAGATGATGACCCGTAATAATTACTATATTAAGCATTTAATAACAACTGACTCTTTCTAAAGCATTAATATCTGAGACATTCTTTTTTGACATAGAAATTATTTGTGACAATTCCCAGTAAAACGCTATTGTATTTTATAATAAAAAATTTCATACAATGCATAGTAGCCAGTATTTCGATAAATACTTGTTGATGAAAATGATCGCCTAAGACCGAACAATGTTCCTAACCACTTCCAACTGGTTGACGGCTCCGCACTTGATATGCCTTTTAACACAGCATGACTAAACCGAGTTCCTGTTCTGATCATGATGAGAACTATTTCTATAAGCACTTCTGAGATTAATTTGAGGTCTCTACATTTGCAAGTATGAGACTAAAAGTAAAATAAAAGTAAAGTCAGTACAGTCATATAGTACATAATGAAATACTCCTCTGTTTAATGCATGAACGAATCAAAACAGACCATGGACAGTGAAGGACAGAACATAGTGAAAAGAGGCTATGATATCAACAGTGGTACAAAATCCTTTGTGCAAATTTTTGAGAGCAACGATTTTGTAAAGTAAACGACTTAGAACTTTCAATAAAAAGTTAAAATATGTAAAAAGTGTTGAGATTTATAAAGTAAATTATTCATCTATGAGGAACTCAATGAAAGAATATTCCTGAAGTATGATATTACTTGCCATATCAGGTTTCAAATTCTGACTCTCAACGGGTTCCAATTCGTATTGCAATATATTTTCCTATGCATTTAGAGATGTACATGATTTGCTGACACTTTCTTACGGTAGAAATGTGCTTCAGATTCTTGATACTTAGTAGACTAAGAGAGTACTGTACAGAGTAAATGGAAATTACAAATGCTTCAAATTAGTTAGGAAATATTAATGAGATTCTTATTACGAAGATATAAATGGTATAACGAAGCAAGTAGTTTACGAGAAAATGCTCATAGATGAAGACGAGAACAAAAAGTAATTTAATAATTTTAATAGTTTTTTTTCGAGGGGAGAATTCTGAAAGAAGTAATGTAAGTATGTGTGCTTGCATTATAATTCATTGTTCCGTAGGAGTGTAAATTGTCTCGCTGTTCGAAGAAGAGCATTACTTCAGTAAATCAGATGATGACGAATCGTTTAAAATAGTTTCATTTTATACAAATTTTGCGACATGAAAATAAATTTAAAAAAAAAGGTTGCTGATCGCAGACGACTAATTTTTAGTGCAAAGTAAAAACAAGCTATAGAAGCTTTTTTTAATGAATATGAAATCATCGACACAAATGCAATATGAAAGAAAAATTTATTGGAAGTGTTAGCGCTGTTTTTCAGTGTTCATTCTGCCTGAAGCGATGTATGAAAGCAAATCTGCTAGTAACTCTTGTAGCTGAAAATTATGCTTTCTCAAAAATTTAAATGAAACCCTTAACTGGTTGAAAAAATTATACTTTTCAGTGGTATTTTGTAAGTTTTATTCTATGATAAAATGAAGAAAATCTGTATGTATATAAAATTTTCCGAATAGTTATTTTGTTTTAGTAAACAGTCGAAATCAGTTGATTAGTATACTCGGAAAGGTCATTGTCTTCAATCATTGAGAAAGAAATGGATATTGCCGTGCCTAAAATAAAAATAAATGATGCGTGAAAAGTAAATGATTTTACTGATTTAGTTGTTTAAAGTATTAGAAGGTGAAGTGACAAAAAGATTTGTTTCTATTGTTTGTTTGCAAGCTAATAAAGCGTAGATGAAAATTACGTCATAGTTTTAGGACGTTGTTTGCATTCAAACAACAATAAGAATAATTTACTTCAAGTTTTTGCCAGTATTCCTTTTATGCTTTCTTTAGCGTCCGTCCGTGTTACTATCACAACTTACAAAAACACTCTGGCCTTCAAAAAGCTCTGCCGTTATCTTGTATCATTGTATAATCATGTTGTCAAAATGAGGGATATAAGTTACTTTCGTTAGTTGATTTCACCATTTGTATCTCTTCAATCAATGGTCAGCAGCCAATGCTGACTAAGCAACCTTCACATGATTATTATTCACTATCACTCATCATTTATGCCCCATTAGTCTTTGGCAATTTTAATCACTCAGTAAATGAACAAGATGAATTTGAATAATCTCATAGAAATAATCTCATAGATCACAAATTTTTTTCTGAAGTAATTAAGTCTTTGAGATTAGTACGTATTGTTGTAGGCTAAGATCTCATCAGCGATCAAATAATCTTTTTTATTTCATTTCTATATACCGCTGGCATTTTAATTCTTATCGCAGCGGAATAAAAAAAGTGAGATACAAGTGAGTTGGTTTCGTCACACATCACTTTGTCAACAATTTCTGACGAAAATAAGATGAAGTATTTTAACTCGTCTTATACATCACGTCTTTAACAGTGAAGGCAAAACAGATATGGATTAATAACAAGAACAGAATTACTGAGTACAACTCATGCGATTACTCACTTTACACTTTACCTCGTTACATGTTATGAGTTAAATTCAATAATTTTGATCACTAAAAAACAAATAAAGTATTAGGAAATGTTGAACGAAAAAACCTATGAGGATCAAAACCGTATGATAAGGTGAGATGACATCAACTTGCAGTTAGAGAAAAAAGCAATGTGGCATTTTACTTTTGAGTAATATTCTTATCAAAGGGATTAAAATTAGTTTCAGAAAGGTACAAATGTAGCAAACTGTTGCTTTTCATTTCATGTTGCTGCACTGCTGATGTCAGTGGTTGCAAAAGAAAAGCAAGAGTGATGATAATCAGAACGTAAGCTTTTATAGTCACGAATCCCTTAACCTTTGTGTTCTATTCGTGATGTGTTCTATTCTTGATTTGCATCCCTTCTAGTATGTATATGTTCCTAGTTAAACATTTATTTCCTGTTTCATATTCTCATCCGTTTGATGATTCTGGTCCTTGTGCGCATGCACATAGCTGACTGCTGCTGCGTTACAGCAGTGTAGTGGGCTACTGATTGATTTTAATGCAACTGGTGTTGTTGTCCGTTTATCACTACTTTTTAGATTTACGTATACTGTTGTCACACGTGTTCGTATGCAACTTTCTTATTTAGATGCTTATCACTTCATACGCACCGCACGACTTTATAACTTTAACAATATATTTTAGTCATATGTATATGAATGTTGATTTGAGGACTTTTCACCTCAACTCCTGTTCTATCATTATAAAGTCCAAAGTACCGTTAATACACTTGGGTTGAGCAAAAGGAAAAAACGTGTAGTATAAGTTGGTTTATCACACATCGCTGTAATTAAGTAAACTGCTGTTATAAGAACTGTTATAAGAATAGCTATGAAATTAAACAAACCATTAGCATGAACAAAAAAAAATGACGACGTAGTGAGCTTTTTCGCGAAATTTCTTTACAAAGTGCAACCCAAATGGGGTGGTAGTCATTAATAATGCAGAGAACAGTTGAAGTCCATGACCGTACTTCAAAGCAAGAAAGCTATTGTGCTCATCTGTGCCATGTCATTCGGTTGTTATGTATACATCAAAATAATACTATGTAGCAATAAATTCGTCTGGCATTATCAGGATGGTAGAAACAATAATATCTTATCATACTTACTCTTGACATTGAGTTATATTGCATTACAAACCAGCACATTATAATTAAAAATTATTGTTTCTAACGCACTAAAAATTTTTAATTTGTTGCATAATGAGTTAATGTAAGCGTATATTTCAGGTACAATGTCGGAAAATAAGGATGCATTTGACGACCCACTGCTAGCATTTGAAATTTCGTCATCAGAGTCAGAAAATTACGAGTGTTCACCGGAAAGAGTTGAAGAAAGGACTGGTGTAGAGAACACTCTTAACATGGCTTTACCAGAGCACTCTTCGTCATTAACAAAATTGCCTTCTTTAGCATCAGCTGAAGAAGTCTCAACGTTGAAAACAGGCGCATCACATCAAAACTGCTTGAACGAGAGTTACGAAGATCAAAACAGGCAAGATAATCCTTCTAACGAGCTTTTCGGATGTCAGCGCCCGTGCCAACAAAACCTATCATCCTGCGCTCTCGAAAAAAAACATGTAAATATCCTCACTTCACTGTTACATACTTATTTTCCTCTTTACTAACAACGCTCTTTTGCTATTTCTCACAAGCGCACGCACTAATTCAGACATTGATAAACAAACAGACAAACTTAATTGCGTACAAATATAAACAGACAGACAGGTGGTGCAGTGTATATTTAGTTAGATGAATGGAGTGAGAGAGAGAGAGCGAGAGAGGAACGTCTTCAGATTAGTGCAGTTCTCCGTGTATATTTGACATTTTCATTGGCGTAGTGTAGTCTAGAAGTCACGTGGAAATAGTAGTGAGGGATTTCGTAGATGCTGCTGCCCTTGACTACGTGTTGTGTAGAAATGAATGCTTTCGAGCAAGTTTTGGAGTATTTACTGTCGCAAAAATCGATACGCCATTTGAAGGGTAAGCACTTAGAACGGACGCGTGGTAGGAAACAACGAATCGAGTAGTCAGTTATTCGAGGAATCGCTTCTTGACTCATTTCCATATCTAAGGAAGTGTGGTAAAGAAACAGTGGCAGTAATAAGTGTGGGATACAGGTAGTGATATGATTTAATTTTTGCAATTACTGCGATAAGGTTTGCTTTTCAATAGTTTATTTCAGCCGGAAGGCTTGTTTTTTGGTAGTTTATTTCAGTTTATTGCATGTTATTTTTAAAATTTTAGTTGGACTCACTTTTTATAATATTGTTAATGAAGGCGTTGTACTTGTATTGCTGAAACACGAGGGAAAGAGAAAGAGAAAGATTGTATTAATGAAAAGTTCTTACGCATGGAATTTATGAGCATTGTTGATCTGCCGCATTCCTTGATCACAAATTATGAAGATTTATTCTTGCATATATGTAATTTTTCAGTTCATATTGATAAGTCATATCAACGTGAGGAAGTTTCTTTATTTATCTTTTCTACCTCATTTGGACATTTCGATGCCAATTATATATTGTGCATGAAAAATGTAATTGGCTGACTAAAGTATGCTTCTTTTTTGTCTCTTTGCAAATGAAGATCGATTGCAGAAATTGCCGATTGCAGAAATTTTAACCCAAATGCCCTTCACGTTCCTTTTTGATCAAAAGAAATTACAAAAATTTGTTGCTTATCAAATATCAGTTGTCTTTTCGAGAGATGAAAAAATAGTTGAAGGAAAAGGAGTGTCTAGTTGCAACAAGGTGCAGGCACGCTGCTATTATTTTAGTTCGTACATCATTGAAATTTTTGCTATAAGTCTTATGAATCTGGAAGTGAGATGGTTCTAGTCGTATATCCATTTTAGGAAACAATTATTCGTACTCTTTATGGATTACTTTAAATAACTAAGGACACAGCATTTTGAGTTTAGAAGTGTTGCATATTTCTCTTTTCATGACTCTATGACTTGGTTGCATGGCGTAAATCTAGAAAAAAAAACACGTAAATCTCGTTATACAAATTGATGCTGATAAGTCGATTTGATGAAATTTTGTAATGAGCAGCGTGGGTCGCTACTGGAAGATCAGTGCAGAGTTGATGAGTAACTTTTGTTATAATTGAGTAGAGTGATCTACTTTAGGTAATTTATCATTTGCTGCGTTTTGCATCTTGTAATTCGTTGTATGCAGCTAATCCAGGCCGTTTATTGAACCATCATATAACTCCACAGTAAACCTAGTTCGACGTAAGATGGTAATTTTTGTTTATACACGTAACATAGTTTAGTGGCTAGCTGTAATTCAAAGGATTACATTTACCATAAACTCGAATGTGAGCAAAATGCCATGACGAAATGACTAGTACTTGTGGTAAGAAGCGATGGAAAGGCTTTTGCAGAGTACTTCAGCATATTGTTTCGAACGAAAATGCAGACTATCATTACTCTATAATTATACAATAAATTTTACGTATTTACACAGCTCGGACAGTTTATTTCGGTATGTAACAGCTGGTATTGTATTCAGTATGCAGACTTGGTGATGAACGTCTTATTGCAGAGTGACGAAGTGGGGGCTTCGACCTCATTTGCGGGCACTGTGGAGCGTGGTGAAGAATTCTCGCTGGCTGACGCCGCAGACCAAGGTCCACCCGCGAAAAAACCGAGGTAAGAAAAGTTTTCCTGTGGATGTTGGTTAAGTTGACGTTATTATACCAAAACAAGATGCATCGCGTTAAGGAAATTAAGTTAAAAGAACAAAACTGAGTTTGCACTAATTTTGAAACAAGTTTCCAGTAGATTTAGTTTTTTAGGAGCATGGAATCAGCAGGAGTTCCTGCACAGTTGCAATCACCTCCAAGATCTGTTGGTCAACGGATAAAAGTACATTTGGAAACGTTATTGATTATATGCATTAAAACTTTGTTTCAAGCTATTTCTCTGTAATAATTAATCAAGGTTCCACATCTCATATGCGTGACAGTTGCAATAATAAATTTACATGTTCTAAATTACTCTTGCAGTTGCTGTTAATTTGCATTTTTTCCATTTCCTCCAGGAAACTTTACCAACATCAAAAAGCCAGTTATGCCGATCTCCAAATGTAGCCGATATGAGTCTTACTTCGGCTCCTGGTTCGCCTCCTCCGCTTGGTGCAACACAAGTGAACATGATTCGCATCATTGGGCAGTATCTCAAGAATCTTGGTTTGCAGTATGTTATCAACATTGTGATTTGTTGTAACTTCAATCTTTTCCGCCTAAATTATAGCAGCCATAGCTATTATCCATCATGAATGGGATTGATTTTGATTGGTTTTAGAAATAGAAGAAAATACTTGACCGTATTAGGATTTATTTCTGTTTTCAATCAAACAATCATATGTTCAAAAAATAATTCTTTAAAGAGCTTCTTTGTATTTGATTGTTTATTATGAAGCTTTAGCATAGATTTGAAGAGTTTCAAGATATTCGAAGTCTGCAAATTTAAACATTGTCAACTGTTGCCTATTAACAAATTGGGCGATTGAAGCTAATTTCCAATTATTGCAACTATGAAGACATTCACTTTCTCTATAAAGTTTTCGGTTATTGAGTGTTAATTTTATCTTGTGCTAGATCAGGACTTGACTTTTAAAACCTTTTTTACTAATTAAGAATGTGAATCCGTTAGTTTTACAGAGAGACTGTTGCAACGTTATTTGCTGAAAGTGGTTGTCGTCTTGAAGATTCCTTAGCAATCAGATTGCGTGAATATGTTCTAGCTGGCCAGTGGGATCTTGCACTTGGTGTTGTAGACAAAATGTCACCATTTGTTGCGCACTCAAATTTATTGCGTATTCGTGAGAAATTATTTGAAGAGAAATTCGTTGAGTTGCTCATCAAAGAAAGGGTTATTTTTCATTTTGTTCATTCATATGTTACCACTGTGCTTACTAAAAGTTCATGATTTATAAACAGTGGACATATAAACTGCTGCTCCTTTCTGTTGCAAAAATACGATTTAAATTTACATGTTACTTGGTCTTTTGAATTATAAATTATTTCCAGGTTTTGGAAGCCCTCAGCTTATTAACCGTAGACTTTCCTTCGGATCCATTATTTTTTGAACGTAGAAATTTTCTAGCTACACTTCTTTACGTTGATCCAAAGGTTAAATATACATATATCTAGTTGTAGAATATTGTTACGATTTTTCAACTATAAACTGTCATAATTACAAAACGTTCTCTTTTGCAACAGTAATTAATTCTGAAGTTCATAAAACATCTTACCTCAATTAATGTTTTCTGTCATACCTTTCTCAGAAATTTCATTTTTAATATAATTATTGAATAGTTGACTTAAGCGATTGTCAGTTCATTGATGCCTTTATTTCATACAGCTTTAATTTTCACAGCAAACAGTCGATATTAATTTAGGTTGTCGATGTCTGTGCGAAAACAGGAGCCCATCGTACAGAACGTGAAAGACATGCTTTAGTCACTGAAATACAGCAGTTGCTGCCTACATCAGTCATGTTGCCTTCTAATAGATTGGAAAAACTTCTCATGCAATGTAAGTTGAGTAAGGCGTAGCTACACATTCTTCAACTAATTTTGGAACTCTCCAGTTTGTTGAATCTATTCTAGATATGAGAACATGTTATTTTTGATAGTATTTCCTTTTGCATATGTTTAATGTTATCGAACACATTGATGACTTATACTTTTCAAAATATATTGCAGCCTGGAAAATGCAGTGTCGTGAATGTTATTTGCATATTAGAGAAGATTATGATGTTTCGCCTAATTATATATTAGAAGACCATCAGTGTGACTGGGATAGTTTTCCTCTGTTCACCTCACAGGTATAGCTTTTCTAATATCTTGCGTCCCTTATTGTCTCAAATGTTATTTCAGTACTGTTTATGTGAATATTAAGCTGAAGAATGACTGTTTGACTCATATTAACTACTGAATGTGTGATGTACAAGGATAAAAAATATGTTACGCTTTATTCTCTCAATTTATGGTTCTAGGTGTTGACTAAACATACAGATGAAGTTTGGTGTGCGGCGTTTTCACGATCTGGAAAATTTCTAGCTACTGGTGGCAGATCTGGAGCTGCTCATGTATGGAAAGTAGTTAATGAATCAACGGTTGAGCCATATAAAGAACTTGCTGGTTTGTTTATTTCAAGGTTTCATGTTTCTTTATAGGCTGCTGCGTAGGTTTGTATTCTCTCATGTCTCTGCAACACTGCTGATTATGGTACCACCATAATTTTTTCTAAGTTGATTAAAACAAAATCCGCTAATCTTGTTTTCTGAGAGTCAGAACGAGAAAACTCTTTTAAGGAGTTCTTTTTTTGTTTTGTGTTTTGATATCAATTTGGCTTCACTTTAAGTTATTGGATTATATCCATGATTATATTTTAAGTCAATTTTTGCGATATAATACTCTTAATTATTTGTTTGTTAAGGAAAGAATTGTTCGTCATTATTAGCGTGGAGTGACGACAGCATCCTCTTGGCCGTGAGTGCTGCAGAAGGTCATATGACAGATGTTCTTGTGTACGATGTTCACACTGGCGTTATCTTCTGCACAATCGAAAATAGAGCGAATGACAGCACTGTTATGTCTTTTGTTCCGGACTCGTACAATTATCGACTTGTTTGCGCTGATCAAATGGGTCATTTCTGTCAATATGTGTGTTTTATTGTTTTTCAAAGTTTCTTTAAAGATAAAAGAAAAGTACTTCACAGTGTGAATTAGTTGTATTAAATTGATAGGACAAAAATATACCTAAGTGCTACGATAGTAGGTTACACATTGTCGTATATCTGCATATTTTTATTTTGATCTTAAAGTAATGAAGCCTTGAAATCAAGTAATTTCGATTATCAAGGTTTTATAACAGATTATTCAATTGATTCCTTTATTGCATCTAAGTTGTTCCAGACGTTGACTAAAAATAACGCGAGATCTGATGGGAAATTTGAAGGTTACAGAATCCGAGCTCTTCATTGTCTCAGGAATGGATCAGTTCTAGCAGCAGACACTCATAATAGGTTTATTTGTCTTCCTTTTTTTCCAAAATTTCGTGTAATCCAATTCATCGTCTATCAAATTCTGAAGATACTACTATCCTTTAAGTTTTAGAGTGCGCAGTTATCGCTTCAGTGATGACTCTGAAATGACTTTAATCGAGGAGTTAAGTCAGATTTCAACATTTGTTGTTGATAAATCGGAGCAAAACATTTTAATTGATACTAAATCGCATGGTTTACGATTGTGGGATTTAAGAACACGAACGCTGATTAGATCTTTTATTGGTGCACCACATCAAGATTACATCATTCATTCAACTTTTGGTGGTCCCGAACAGTTGTACATCGCTACCGGTTCTATAGGTCTGTTTGTTTCATATTTACCAGACTGTTCCTGTATAGAATAATATTGTGCTAGTTGAAAGTTGTGTAATTCAAATAAATTTCGGGGTGAAAAGTCACTAGCTTCATGAAGCTCAGAAATTACAGTAAATGAGTTAATATTTGTATTCAATATGAGGAAGCCGTAAATGAATGTGGAATTTGAAAAAAAATGTAATCTCAGATAATATTGATTTGGCCTACTTTACCATTGTAAGGTTATTCTCAGCTACTTTCCATAATTTCCTAGATGAATGTATATATATATGGAAGCATACTTCCGATGAATTAATCGCGAAACTGGCAGGGCATACTGCACGTGTGAATGCTGTGGCGTGGAATCCGAAATTGCCACAATTAGTTTCATGCTCTGATGATTGCACAGTTCGTATCTGGAGTCCACTTGTTGGTTTTGATTCATCTATTATTCAGCAAAGCTGATGCTATTTTCATCAATATGTATCATTGGTTTATACAGTTCATTTCGCTTTCATAGTTTTATTAAAGATGCCTGTCTCATTCTGTATGTAAGCACACGAATTTGTTTTTTCTACTATGGTACTTTTTAGTTTATTATTTACACGAATAAAGAGATAGTTTTTACATTCATTCGAAAATTTGTGTTTTATCGTTTTTGAATGCAAATTACCTCAGTGTCATTAGCTTTCTCTCCACTTCCGTTCATTATTTCTTTTTTCATGAGTTGATTTAGTCAGCAAATTCCTTCACAGATATTTCATTAATAATCGGTAATGCAAGTGCGTCGGTTGTCACTAGTTTTTATATTTGGATCAATTAATTGTTCGTGTTTCATTTCATGCATTAAATGACAGCACAGGACATTCGCTCCTTAATTACTGTCTAAGGATCACAGTTGTGTCTTTTCTTTTTCGTGGTAGGAATATTGCACAAACTTAGTTACTGGGTTTGTAGTCAGTAGGTCTTTTGTGCACATCATTATATGATACGTAAGTTGTAGTTTTATTCAAACCCTTCGTGAGCTTAAAATATGAAAAAGAAGATTGTGGTACAACTATCAAAGTGTGCATTTCTAGCAGTTAAAATTGATCTTTCGTCATTCATGAATCGACACATTCTTATGTTCATCAAAAGAACAGTGTTTTAGTAATACTCATCTGTTGCTTTGCATGAGTTATCTTGTGAAATGTGCTATTGAAAATCTCTCAATGAATTCTCCGTCGCGTCATACTGATTTGACAATTGGATTTGAATATGCTTAGGCTTGATTTCTATGTGTACATGTACTATCTTCGTTTTATAAGTTTGCTGGTGTTTATCAATCAAGATTAAAATGTTTAGTTTTATATTTGTTTCACATGAGGCATTTTCAAAACAAGGATTACAGTTATACTATGGTTATCAAAGCATAATTTAATGGCATCAAAGCGATGGCTGTTCTGGCGTTTCGATATAGTTTGGTGTGGAGTAAATAGTATAACCGTCTCTGATGTAGTGATGTCTAATCAAGGATTCATCTGTTAGATTACGTACTGAAATAATTTGTCAAATAAGTTAGATTGTGAATTAAAATGAAATTTTTGTTGTTACCTCCAAACGTTATATTTTGAACGCTGACTGGGATGTCTGTTTTAGACATGATTTTGTCCTTTACTGTTAGTATGGTATCCGTTTCCAAAACGTTGATCTTTATTTTATGACCAGCAAAGTTCCGTGTTTTGTTGTATACAATAACGTTAATCTGCCTGAAAGTACTGTTTTATTTCTAGCCCACAAAGTATATTAACTTGCTTGATTTCTCAGGGATTCTTGTAAAAAAATATAGAATGACGAGCTGAAAATCAGACTGATGTTTCTTAGCTTCTATTTTGAGCAATTATAAGTAAATTGCCTCTAATAAATTCTATATTGAAAATATCACATTAATGTTAATTTATGAAAAATTGAATAATAATGTAAATGCATTTTGTATGTTACTTAATTTGATTAGATAACAGTAGAAAATATTTTCATGTAAAATAAATTACAATTCTAACTGTTCATAAATTACAGATAGAAGCATGATATTTTCTTCAAATTATGATTCAAAGCCAATCAGGATTGCAAAATAAATTACTGCTGACCAACTTGGAAATGACTAAGACGAAAATTATTGCTAACTTACATTATGATATGAAGACGATAAATAAGGAGAATGAATTTGATACGAAAATGGCAAATGGGATCGCAAATTAGCAGCAATAATTATTGATATTTATGCAAGTACCACCTTTTCAAGACTACATTTTTAGTGTGTACTGTGTAAAACTTATAAATGTTATGTATGAAATAACCCAAATAAAAAGATTTATTGATTAAGTAACATTAACAGAATTATTTTTTACACTGTATAGGATAGTTTTTCAATTTGAATAATTCAAGAAATAAAAACTTGGATTGATCACAAAGCCAGTGCTGTAATATACAGAATCTCTGTTATTAGTTTTGTTCATGGAAGTTTCTAAAGAAAACACGAATAAATATAACCCAAGAAGGTTATTGAAAGTATGCGTTGTTATAATTACTTCATTTCAAGACAAAAATAGCAGTAGAATTTATTCAGCTATCAAATCTAAACTAAGGAATTTAAATAATTGCTTTTTATTACTTAGATAGCATTTTGCTACATTGGTTTTTCGATATTATTTCTTGATAACAAGTAAAATTACGAGAACTTACACTATTTTAGTGCTTTTCGTTCAAATGTTACAATACATCTTGTCTAATGGCATGTGATTTGAATCTTGATTTATTGATGAATCATTATTCCATCCAGCAGGTTTTATTAATAAAATTAGTTTCACGAACTATTTAGCTCATTTTATCAAAATATAAGTGCTCATAAAAATAAAATATCGATATACAGTTAGTCACAAATTTAATAACAGTAATCATCAAATGCGCGTGTGTTTAAATTGGCTAAATTATTAGATCCATCAATATTCTCGTACATATTTTTTGATAATTTTTCCAATTCTTGCCGTTGTGATATTACAATCTAAAATCAAGTTAATATAGTTTTAACCTTCAGTAAATACTAATTAAGAATTATTGCCGAAAAAATTATTAAAAACTCTCTCAGCACCTTTTTTTACTACTTTGGCCAGATTTTCATCTACTTAAATATTTTGCAGTTCCCTCATTAGGAAAAATTAATTTTTTAGTATCCTGTAAAAAAATGACAAAGAAATTATGTAAAGCATTTTTTAGCAATTAAAAATGCAAAAAATTTGTAATCTTCAAAGTTAAATAATAAATTAAAAATATACTTCGTCAATTTTAATCGTAGCAGGAGGATTACGCAAGAAATACATCAGTGGAGCATACAAGAAGTTAATAATTGCAATTATTCGCAGCATTCTGAAAACAATTATATTTACTAATTTTTATTTTTGAGTTTATGAAAATTTGCTGGCAAAATCTAAATTAACTTTTTAATCAATGCAAAAATAATAAATTGACGCACAATTACTTGATCATACAATTAAAATAACACTTTTCAAATTTTTTGCTCACAAAAATAGATTAAATAATTGCTAATACATTTACTAATTCAAAGTTGTTTGCAGTTTTTGTTTTCTCAATTTTTTAAAATTTGTAAGGCGCTATTTAACTGAAGCGTTGGTTTGCTAAGTATACTCACGTTGCAAATCCAACGGAACGGACCAAAGGACCCGAAAAAAAAGGACCCAAAGCAAAAGCAAAACAAAATGCAGCATCAGCAATCGCATAAATGGATCCGTAAACTCCAACGTGACGTAAATCGACCAAATGACCCATTAACGGAAACATCGATGCATCAATCATCCCTTCAATATTTGTACTTAATTTTTATACTCTCGATAATAAGCCTGACATGACCATGATAATTATTATGATAATTTCCAAGTTAAGCAATAGAGTTAAACTTCATTTATTTGCAATTTTATATTTTACCAATTGAAAATCCCATGAAAAAATTTGGTGCCATCAACCCTCCTACTCCACGAGCTGTGGGAATCTGAAATTAAAGCAGGCATAAAATAACGTTAACTATTTGCTGTGTCTTTGTAAATCACTTAATAAATTTGGATTCAAAATGTACAAATGTATAAATTTTAATAGAAAATTACTGAAAATATTCAAACTCTTTTAAAGCTAAAATCTTTTAATTTATTACTAACAAACGTAAATTCAAGCAAATTTCGATTGACAAACTTATGTAATTACATTTAATGCTTATTTTTATATTTTTCATTGTTAAATTAACTTACAGCAATTAAACAAATTCCAATAATTACAAGACCCAATAAAGCGCTCAGCCAACTGAAAATAGCACATTTTGCATTTCAACGATACAAGTAATGTCTCTTTTCATCAAATCTTAGTATATGTATGCCAAAGATGAAAAGTTATAAAAACAGTAACAAACCGTCCAATTTTGTGAGCTAGTGGTCCAAAGATATTTGTACCGATCAGATAAGAAACACTAGCAGGTAGAAAAGCAATGCCTCGTTCAAATGATCCAGCCTGCCAAGATTCCATCATCCACAGTGGTAGCGATGGTTCTAACATTGCTATTCCAAGGTTTCCAATCGTTATTGATCCTAATAATTACTCTCAGAAATACTTCTTGTTTACTGCTATAAGAAAAAATAGCAAAAGAAGTTAATACATTTAAGAAAACAGTATCTATACTGTATTATTGCAAACAAATTGTTTTAAAATTTCAAATTAAGCATTAAAAAAAGTGAAGAGCACCAGAAACAAACTTAATAACTCTGACACACTAACCAGCAGCAAGTATGATATAAGGATCTGTAGCGAGTTCTTTTAAACTAGTTCCTTCTGGCTCACCACGGTCAATTCGAGGTTGTAGCATTAAAAATTGCAACGCTACAATAGTAATCAGTATAAGCTTGATTTAATAAAACTAAGGTTATTGGGCATAATTTTTGCTAACATAAATAAGTCAAAATTAGACTTAGCATTTAAAAAAATTGCTAAAATTTTGCAATTGAAAATTAGCAAAAAACTGAATGCTTAAAATTATTTCTCTCAAAGTATCAAAAATAATTTCTGGATAATTTTGATCACCAAGTGAGAATAATTCATTCTGAAACTTACACCCATCAAATAATGCAAGTAATGCAAGAAATAAGAATGGTAATTCTTTTCCAGACCATTGATATAAAACCCCTCCATAAGGTGGTCCAACTAACAGACCAAGTGCTAATCCACCTAGTGCTATACCCATCGCACTACCGCGTTCTTCATCATCAGGATAAGCTTGTGCTAACATTCCCATTCCTGTATCAACAACAAGTAATATTCACTACTAAGAATGTTTGCATGTATTGTGAGTTAATTTCTTTATTACTTATATGCAATTCCAAAGTAAAATAAACCTGACGTGCTTGTACATGCGGAACCGACACCTTGCAAAGCTCGAGCAAGCCAAAGAACAGAAAAAGATGTACCAAAAGTGAACATTATTGTAGATAAGAACATTACACAAAAGCCAGTAAACATTGGCACTGTGTAACCAATTCTGAAGTTTGAAAATGGAAATTAAAAGGTTATTTTTTGAAAAAGTTTTCATTTTGTTAATAAAATGTACTAACACGCATACTTTTCACAAAAATGTTACACAAGTATAAATGCAACTTAATGAATTCATAATATTTTTGAAAACTTTTATCAACCAAATTGTTTGCTTAGATTGCTTTGATCTTAATCTTAATAGTTTGTTTTACATAATTTTTTTGCCAAGCTCTATAACAATTATTAACACACTTATTTGTCAGTGGACCAATCCATGGATTTGTTAATAATTGTACGAGTGCTTTTGATCCAAACATAAGTCCCACGTAAACATTTTCTTTAGCTAAAGTATTATGTCGTTCCATTTCTTGTGCAGCGTCAGGAACAATTTCATCTACTTGTGTAGTTTTTACTTTTATAGGTTTTTTCGTTGTTTTTACTCTCATTCGTCTACTCGTGCTTGATACTTTTTCTAAAATAAATTTTCATTCTCTCATGAAATTTAAATTTATTACTTCTTAATGCAACTCAAACCGAAAATCTAGCTAAAATACAGCTACAACTATAACCTTTGTTTATTATTTTTCAATGATTTAATTAAATTTATTAAAATTTTTGAACCTTTCTTTAATTGTTTTTGGTTTGAATTTTCTTTCTCATAAAATCTATTCAATGATGTTTTTTGCCATTTTTCTGCAACGTTCACATTTATTGGATTTTCCCAAGCATCATCCCAGATGAAAGGTTTTTGATATTCAATTATTTTTTCGTGCATTTTTTGATTGCTTGCAATATTAGCTGTACGTTTTCCTCGTGAATGTCCAGTTACCAAAACTTTATTGTACAACAATAAATCCGTTGAATTTGGATGTGATAATCGTAGTAAATATTCTGGTATTATTGGTACTGCAGTGAAAAGCATGTCAAATAATTGAATTAAAAGGTTAAATTATTGATAAGTAAAAAAACTTTTAAAATTTGTACTTGCATTTTCTTATCAGACAAAAACTTTTTTTCTGACTTATAACAATCATTATTTACTCACTAAACTTAAAAGTTTAACTTTACAATAATATAAACATACATACCAACAGTAGTAAGCAGCATATTGTCCAGAAACAAAGCAATATATACAATAAGTAATAGCGTCTTTCGGTTGTGACGATATTTATCAACCATTTCGAATAACATTACTGCCATTGTAGCAATTTTATCTACATTAATTATTAACACATTTTTTAAAATATATTAACACACTTTATTAATGATAATTTCGTATTCTTATATTATCTTCATCATAATAGTTCATGCAAAATTACTTGATTAAAACTTTTGTTTATCTGATATTCTTGCATATAATTGCATATAATTTACGTTCATATAATTATCATGATAATCAAACAAATTTTGAACATTAAAAATATATCATGCTAAAAGTTTTCCTAAATAAATATCATCTAAAGCAATCATATTATGTAATTTCTTTTAAATATAATATCTATCTCTTATCATTAAATTAATGCAAACTTCAGTAGTACTAAAAGTTACAAAATGCCTTCTAATAGCAGAAGTAAAAAACACGTAGCAGAAGTAAAGAAGACGAATCAAAGAGTACAAAAATAATTAATATATTTCTATTAATATTGACAGAATTGGATTTTTTTAAGATAAGAAAACTATCTATTTAAATTTAATAAATAAATTGAACAAAAATTCTAAAAAATAAATTCACGCAGTTTTTAATTTATTTCTATTTATTGCTGATAAATAATGCCAACATATCATTCCTAGCAATATGTTTAAAAATTTTAGTATACGACAAAAATAATTGCAATACGAAATATTCAGGAAATAATTTGAAAGTAAACTGACACCCATATTTTTTCTATTATCATGTTACTACTTCAGTTCATTTTGTAGCTGAAAACAAAATCATTAAATATACTTCAGAAAGCATTTATGAATAATACTTGTTATCATAGTCAGATCCATTGAAAATGACCTAATACATATTGATGACAAATAAATGTTAATTTTTGTTAAAAGTGAAAAGCATGTCGTGGATAAAATCTTGATCTTATTAATTATTGAAACAAGTGATCAATGAATTACTGCTTTTCACTGCACTGCAATGAGCATTTTTCAAATTTCTTTTTTTAATGAGCATCAAAAAATTGAAGATTTGTCTGCCAATGATGGATACAAATTTTTTAACAAGTTATTAACTTCAATTTTACCATGCAAAATGTTCCAGTTTTTTATTAATAATAAAAGCATCTTCTATGATCTTAGCACACTAAGTTTAAATGTGGCTTACAGACGTGTACTTCGGTTAAAATTTTACGCATCTTGATATTAACATGCAAATATTTCTTTCATTGCTAATAATATGCAATATTCTTGTTTTAATTCGAATTTGGAAATAATATATCACTCTTGAAATATATGCTTTTTTTTAAATAAAGTATTCTTAAAAATAAATTTTCCTTATCATCCACTAAAATCAGGTTTTCTATGCAAAACTTCTAAAGAGCTAATATTAGAGGCATTATTTACCATTGTTGAATTCAGTAAAAAAGTTAGGAAAGATTAATTATTTCAAATAAAAAAATAAAACTTTATGAATTCCAATTTGTGTTAGGTTATTTTATTTAGTTTTGACATAAAAGTAATCAGTAAACTGATGTTTAAATTTGAAAACAAAGCAGGCAATGCTTTTTCAAGTTACAGGTACTGTGCATAGTTATGCAAATTTAGCAATAAATGAATTATAAAAGTTATTTTTCAATAAGCAATTATTAAGAACAAATAATGTTTGCTAGCAATTTTGTTAAATTAATTAAAGTTGTAAAAAATATAATATTTAACGGTAATATGCAATTATTATTATTTTTTTGAAATATGCAAAAATGTTTAAAATGAAATTAATTAAGATTGTTAAAGTTATATTGTTATTAAAATTAATTTTTATATTTTTGATTTTTAATTGCAAAAAAAAAACACTCATTCAAAGATAAAGGAAGTACAAATGGTTTACAAAATTCTGAAATGTGAAAAAGAAAAGAGAGATGAAAGAAATACGAGCAAATTCAGATGCCTTAGCATTCAAGGAGTACTTGATCTACTTCTTCAATTAAAGTATTACGATATAAGGTTTGATGGAAAAGAATGAGATTGAAATGAAGAAGAATCTTTCAAGAACTTTCTGGGAATTTTTGACTGCAAATGGCATTTGATGGAAAACAAGCAAGCAAAAGCTTATAGCCATGAGGAGGATATGGAATGACAACAATTTACTTTACTTTACTTTAACTTCTATTTCTAAGCATAGTTTTATGCGTATAAGTGAAGAAACTAAACATAATAACCGAAGAAGCTGTGAGTTTAAGAATATTTTCATAACTGATTTAGTGGAATTAGCTTAATTGCTTATTGAGAAATCAGCACATAAATGCCCACTTCTCTGACATATCTCATGAAGTTTAACTAAAAATCTAATCAACAAAACGAAATTTATATAAGTTTGTCTCAATACTTTCCTATCGCATTAAATTAATAATAAATAATAAAATTATTAAAAATTATTGTTGTTAATAAATAACAAATAAATGTGATTTATTTATTTATCTATTAAATTTGTTCACTGAATTGTTTTGCATATGTAAGAAACGTTTGCAAAAATTTTAAGAAAGATTTAAAAGAAATAAAAAAGAGTTGTAGATGTTTTTGTGCATACAACTAACTAAATGTATTACTGTAAGCAAAATGACTGTTGTGCCTCACAAGCAGATGTAGTAATTCCAAACTTGGATAGCTTAAATTGGATGTTTAGACAAATGCAAACAAAACATTCTTTTTCCAGAGATCATTATTAGGTGCAATATAAGTAACAAGACAGAAAAAAATAGAGCGAGCAGTAAGCTTTGATTGGAAAAATAGAAAATAGTTCGGAAGTAAACGAACGAGTTTAATCATTACCATAGCTCATTCATATTCATACCAATTTAAATCTTTCTTAGGCTTTGTAATATTTCTTTTTTAGCAGCAATATAATAACTGCAAGCATATGCGAACATATAAAATGATGGTTTACTCAAGCACACAATTCATAAATTAATCCTAACAACGTTGAAAGCAAATATTGGAAAGGTCCAAAGTAAAATATAATTATTTTCTGTGTTGGTAGTTGCAATGGTGTAAGTTAACTCTTATTACTTCTTTTTTTCAGATATATATTGTCAGAACAAAAAATTATACGCATAATAATTTCATATAATGTAAAGTAATTTATTCAGAAACAAATTAAATAATACAAAAAACCATTCTTATTCAAAAATTTTTCCTATCAATACACAAAAATCGCAACAATATATTGCTGTAGTCTACAAACAAAAAAATTTTAATTGAACAAGTTATTCTGTCAGCTTAAGGTAATATCCACTGTCTTTACAAAAATGTTTGACAAAAAAATTCTAAATAATAGAGTTTTAAATTTATACTGTTGTACATTCATCATAATAAATTAAACCATTTTAATATCTTCATATTGGATTTAATTAATTACAACTTGACAAAATTTACGATTAATTTTTTTATAAATTAACATTTAATTTGATATTTAAATTTGTTTACTACACTAAATTTTAAGTTTCAAAAATAAGTTAATTTATCATTCAATATGCGAAGTTAAAAAACTAAAAGAACATTGCAGTTAATAATGATTATTATACAAAATGGCTGAAATGAACTTTTAAAAGTTGCATAAAAAATTAAGGTATGTCACAAAAGAACTATAATTGGTTGGAAAATCAGCGATAAATGCAGTGATGAAGGGACTAATCACCGTTAACTATTAGTAAGTAAGTTGAGAAAAATGTATAGACAGACTTTTGTTGTTGACAGATTGATATCTTTTATTATTGATATTATCTTTGTTAAATGTATCACTATTATTATTGTTATTATTATTATTATTATTATTTTTAAACATTGCAAGCATTTTATAATTGTTGTCATTAATGATAAAAAATATTCCATTTTTTCCGCTCAATTTTTTCAAATATCTGACTTCACTATTCATCATTCATAATTATTACTGCTTCTTAATGGCTTAATTAATTAGTATAAATACAAATATTTTGCGATTATTGTCATTGAAAGACCAATGTTTTCTCTGCATTGCACTAAAATCCGATAACATTCCGTTGTGTCTATTACTTACAAATCTCCAGTTTATCTCACCTTGCATTCACATGATTCTACGAACTGACACAAAAAATTAGTAAGCATAAAATTCATTTCATGAATTCTAGGATTTGGGACGGATTAGAAGCAAATCGAGGCTACTCATAGTAACATACATTGGACGCTGTTTATTGTTGTTGAACCGTAACAAACTGATGCATTTTTGAAGTTGTCACTAAGAAGGAGGGTGGCGAGGGAACTGGCAAGTGTAAGAAGGTATGAGGCACTTTTTAGTTGTTATTTTCTATTATTACTTTTAATTTTGTGCTATGAAAAGGATTTTTTCTTCTAGTTGCAAATTCTGACTATTTTTTTCGTGTAGAGCACAAACGTAAAAAAAACTGTCAGTTTGTCAATAGCTATTATTGATTGCTTGTTTTTATTAAATTTCCTTATAAAATAATCATCTCTTTATCTTCCTGAACTTATATATATCTTACAGTAGGATGCACTAAAAATATCCCGATCATGATCATACTTTAATTTCAGGCAATCACATCTGCAGTATCGTTTTGCATTTTTGGATCTTCGTTTCATCTGTTGCTTCTTATCAGATAATTGAAAAGAAACTGTGAATGCCTGGGACGAAAGTAGATCAAAGTGAAGTGCGCCAACTTGTGGACAAATTTAAATCAGATGGAGCATTTGATAAGCTGAGACACAAAATATTTGCTTCAATCATCTCCTCAGTATGTGAAAATTCTACCTTATTCAGTTTTGACAAGCAAATTCTTCGTTTTCTTCTCTGAACTGGTATTACTTTGAGTAAGAACATTATTCATTTCATATCGTTCGTACTGTAAGAATCAACCACGTACATAAACTTATAAAATAATTTATTATTACGAAATGATCTTATTACATAATTTCACGTCACTTATTTTTTGATTTTTATGATTTTAAATTTCATATCTTGTGGCTCTGCTGAAAATATGTTGCACTGCATCGGCATATTTGCTATCATTTTTATTTCTTAATTGACCGTATTCAGTGTTAACAGACAAAATTTTCGTTTAATTCACTAAATCACATTTGAAATAATTTCCGGAAAAAGGAGTGTTTTTGATAATTTGATGTCAACTATTCTTCTTTAATGTGTAAGTAATATTACAGGATCGTTTCAAAAATGTAGCTTCAAGAACTGAGGCTATTGTCGATGATTTATTGAAAACTGTTACACCTGATTTCACAAAAAATAAAGCTCGTGCTCTTCTTCGAGAAAGACTTTCTTCTGAACATAGTTCAGAGTATGCTGTCATGATTTCTCAAGTCTGTTTTCCTCTCATTTTTTCTTTCATCAAAAAGAGTACTAAATTCTTCCATTCGTCTTGATGGGCATTCATAATTTTTCTTCTCAATCGTTGACATCTTTCAGGGACTAGAAGCTGATGAAACATTACATAGTTTACTGGAAGAAATTGGTCATTATGTAGATTCATTTGTTGGCATCGCAGAGCAAGAAGTAGTTCAAAATTCTCAGCTACAACATTGTGACGCAAACCATGAAGTATGATTCCTAATTTAAAAATGAAGTATGATGTCAGTTTAAAAAAAATATGTTTTAGTCAGCCAGAGAAGTTTTATCGCAAGAAATTATCGCTTACTTTTATAGGTTTGTGATATGGAAATAGATTCTGATTCGGAGCCAAATTCTCGTACCAATGTAACCAAAGAAATATCTGTGTCTGAAATAGCACTACCTCCTTACACTTGTGATGACCATCTCTTCAAAAAGCCTTATCCTATAGTTCGTCATTTTCGATGTCCATTAAAGTGGATCTGTTTTGTTTTCTTCATTTGCTGTATTGTTTGTCAATAATTAATTAGGGGGATTGAAAATCTAAATGCCATGTAGTTCGCCTTTTGAAAGCTTTTAAAAGTCTTCACCATTTTGTGATTTTTACGTGGCAAGATTCATCACGAAAGCCGATTTAGTCTGTGTCAAATGCATCAGTTGTTTGATTGACTCCTTATTATTGCAAATACTGTTTTTCAGAGACCAGTCAGTCGCAATATAAGAGGCATGAGTCGTAAAAGAAATTATGCAGGCATGTTAGGCGAGTATATTTTTTATCTTCCTCCTGAGTATTTATTTCACTCGATAGAGGCGTGTACAGTACCTCTATAAGAATAAAGCAAAATTTTTGCAAAAACTGTATAAAACAATTCCATAAATTTAAAACAGTTACAGTATGAAATAACTATTTATTTTCAGTTAATACACCTTTCTTAAAACAACAGAATCAGGTAAATGTTGGATCAAACTTTCCGTTTAAAGGTCCTGTCGATGCATGGTCTGGCAGTACATCAGTTACTTTACAGAATCAAAGAACTCTTGCAAACAGATATTTAAACTCGAAGGTAGATTTTCTTTTGTCTTTAACCGTTGAAATTTTTTTTGAACTTTTGGATTGCAATTTCAAATATTTTCTTGTGGTATCCGATACTTATTGGCACAATTATTCAGGATGCAATGCTTACTAAGTATTATATGACTTCTTTGACCGACTTTCATGCAAGACGTCGACACACTGCATATAATGGAAATTTACCATCTTATCGTTAGAACCACTGTGCATTCATTGTAAATTTCGTCTTAGAATCATTTTTACTAGTGTCTTACAAAAAGACATCTTAATGGTGCGGAGTATTGTGTCTTGTTTTTCAGGAATATTTCACGTTATATTCTCTGACTGCTGAATTGTATTTATTTTTGGTATGGCTGCTGTGATGATTGTTAATTTATTAATATTGTTGAGTCACTGAAGTCATGGCGAGACCAAAATATTCGTTTTATCCCAAAAAATGGTTAATTAAGGAAGGATTATGTTTGTAATAGATTCAAATATTCTACTCTTTTTCAAAGCGCGCTCCAACATTTGATATTCTTTTAGCTTTGGAAACGGAAGCCTGCTAGATGCATAAGAATAAAAATAGTTTGAGTTTTATGATTGGGAGAGGTCTGTTTTTTTTTCATTTTTTTAAGATCATAAAGTATAAATCTAAAAGTTTTTTGCACGATGAGTAGGTAAGGGAATGTCTTCAAACACCTAATCTTCAACTTTGAATGAAGCTAAGAGGTTTATATTAAGTCAGCTGAAAACTGAACAAAAGCTTTTAATTTTATTAAAAGGCGATTAGTGATCGTGACCAGAGAGACTGTTAGTGCACTCACAGATATTGAAAAAGAATTGAGGCGTGACTTGACTAATGGTATGGTAAGAAAAGAAAACTAACCACATTAGATCTGTCCAGAGTATCGTTAGAAGGTTTCGTTATTTGCAGACTAACAATCAAGAAATTATTAGTAAATTAAATTTCCAAAAGTCGAGTGCAGTAGTCACTGCGCTTGACTTGTGGAAATTTAGCTTACCAGTAAGACTGTCAGCATTTAGATAATAAGAAAGATAAACGAATGCATGCGTGATGGACATAGTGAGTAGCTGTTGCTATGTAGGAGAAAAAGTTGCACTAAAATAAAGGAAATTTTAGACAAACTAAGGTTTTGATTATTAAGTTAGCAGAATGCAGATGAGAAGAGTTCTGAGACAAGAATTAAAAGTCTTCTCTCTGTTTCTTGGGAGTAACTTGTCGGTAGTGATTTCTACAAATATGTAAACAAAAAGTGGAAGTTACTGTTGATGCTTTTGGAAGTCTATAATGCACAGTCAAGTCTTGAAGACACATGAGTCTTAAGCAAAATTCAATGTCATAGCTATCTATACTACTTCGTAGTTGGTAGTTCTTACGCAGCTTCTTGTCAGTTGTCTAGGATTTCGTGGAACTAGACCAGGTCTTTAGCTACAGGGAAAGGAAGAACTTGTTAGGTGGGAGAGAGTTGAAGGTGGTGAGTAGAGGAAGCTAGTAAATACTGATTGTTATCTTAATTAACAGAAATTTGATCTATGAAGGCTTATGAACGGTGATCAGCTAGTTAGAGGTGTTTTAATTGTTTCATCAGTAAAGTTGGTAAACTCAATTATTTGGTTTGCGTGGGAATCTTGCTAAGAAATAGGAAGTTAATAATGTTTACAGTTTTTCCATTTAACAAAAAATATATCACATAAGGTGCAGATAATCCACAGCATTATAAAACAACTTGATTTGGTCGGGTTCTGATCACGTTCTACAGCGGATTGTTTTTATCAACTCTTGTTTCAAGTCTTCACCTCGTTGTCCAATGTATACCTTTGATGGGTCATCTGTTAGTTTAGCCAAGTATTCGCTAAAAATTACCAAAAGGTAGAATAAAATAAAATGGCTTATTGCGCGCAGAATTCATATTAATATATTTTATAATTTTATAGGAGTCTAGTAAAGTTCGGGAAGTAAGATATATTCATAGTGTAACTATTCTAGAGCTTTGGAAGATTTTCAAACACTTAAGATCAATACATCATGACAGTAGCAAGCAAACTCACAAATTATTAAGTTTTGACATACTGACAGCATAGAAGTCAACTTTTGACATTTGGCGGATTTCTTCTGCTGGCTTGCTGGCGTCATCTTGCGAAAAACTGCAATTTGTATTTATTACGTGTAGCAGTCCTCAGTTAACCAGACTTTAGTTTGGGTAATCGTTTCAGTCAGAAATATTTGGAAACGAAAGCTAAGGTATCTCAAATTGAACTTTCATCTACTGAATATTGACAAGGTGACTGTACCCATCGCTCATAAGTATTACGATGGTAGGTGTACCACGTCGGCGAGTTCCCAAGACGTTGATTGAAGCTTCTAATGCCCGACCAATATATGTTGTTCCTAATTAATGAATTTTTTTTTCAGCTTGAAAGGAAGTTTTTCACAGCAACTAACAATTGATTTGAGAAAATTTATCTCTCGAAAATACAAATTTTACATTCATCTGGAGACATAAGTGAAATCTGTACTGTCACAACTCTTGTAAGTTTATCGTTTGGATAAAATAATTGATTCTCACAATCTAATTATGTTCTGGTTTTCAATACATTTATTAATAATTGGTAAATTAGATTAGTCGCTCATTACGCAACAATATTTTAATTATCATCATTTGATGAAAACATATCCTTAAGAATTTTCTTAACATTGAAATATTCACCTCCTGTCTTTGTTTACCATCAAAATAAAAACAGTACCAGTAAAATGTCGGACTTGTGCGAGAGCTTCCTCAATCTGGCGTGCATTATTATATGTATCAAACGTCCATTCAACTTTCTGGTGTGAACTGCCAGCAAATTGAACCAGAGCAACTCTTTGGTTATCGTCACCAATCTTTTCAAATTAACAATACAATGTATTTTGTGTAGACATGCATATCAAACGAAATCTCAAAGAGCAATTTAAATTCGTCCAAAAGTGAGCAAATCTGGCGTTACATCTTTTTCCTATTCTCATTGCTGATCACTTGGAAAAAGTTCTTCTAATTAATTTTTTTGTTTTTTTATAGAGAGCATTATATCATTGGAGGATTTATCAACTACAAACTCCGAATAAGAAGAAATAAAACAAGTCGTTTCTTCATATTTGATAATTGAATTTTACTTGCAATTCATTGAGTAGTGAGAGGATGTAGTCTTTTTGCTGATCATAAATTCTTTGCACTGATCCAGAACTGTCAACAATGAACAAAATTTCTCGTGGACATTGTCCTGAAGAGATAGACAAACATATTTTATGTTCTTTTCTAAAGTTGATTAATTGTCATTGTATGTATTTTAGAATGTTCTATTTACCCTGACTCCTTTCAATACTGCCAACCGGAAACGGTTTTCGCAATTTTGGTATAGTTTTTGTTGAAATGTGTGATGCCGTTGTAAATCTCAAATTGATAGTTGTTATGCAGCTGATAAGGAAATTATATTGAAGAGGACGCAGCCAAACAACAAAAAATAAAAAGGTAATTTGTAATGCAATAGATCTATTAGTGAATAAGATAATTTGAGTATTTCTTCTACAAAGATGTAAAAGAAAACTCGAAATTGAAGGTTTTTATTTGTCCAGTCAAATTTCTTGAGAATGCATGTGCTTTAAGAAAAAATTGAAATACTTCAACAAATCTGCTTTTTTCTTACAAACCGTGATGTTGATGACGATTTCAGCTTGTTAGGTGCTTTATAGTCTTTTTTAGAGGAACGAAATACACTTGACTTCGATAATTTTTTTTCCAACTGTTCAGTTGACTTTGTAGAATTTATACCAATATCGCTTTCTCCATTGTCATCAGCAATCTAAAAGTTTGATTGCTTCAGTTAAAGTTAGGTTCCTTCTATAACTTTTTCAACAAAGCGCGGTATTGAAAATTAATTTAGGATTACTAACACCAAATTTTTATATTACTAAAAACATTAACTCATGCATTCTGAAGCTCATTAATTGCAAAATCTGTATGCTTTCTGCAATGTTTTAACTGAAATTTTTATTTTATTGTACTAGTAAAACGATTGACATCATTAGCGTCAAGTGACTGTTTGGTAACGACATTTTTCAGCAGTTGTTCATCGATATTTATTTCAGCTGCTATATCATCAATGTCTGCATCTTTAGAGCTATTATCACTATCTGTTTCCAGAAACGCTATATTCTATAAAGGAAGAAAAATAATTCTGATTCTGACATATACCCTTGCTGCTCATAAACATGTCATGTTGATATTTAATAAGATCTGTAAATTAACTTTCGTATTTAACCTTAGCTTGACTAAAATCTTAATAGAACATTACAAGAATCATTTAACTTTGTTTAACTTACAAATTGACAAATTGTTTAATATAGGTAAAAAAAATTTAATAAAAATATACTTGCTGTTCTGATAAAGGCACATTTTTCTCAGGATTTTTTTCGATTTTGTGTTTCAGTAAAGTATTATTCGTTAGTAAGTCTTGTGACTTAAGCTGTGCTACAGTAAAAGTGTGTGTTTTTAAATGTACTCCTGTCGTTGATTGTCGTATCTTGCTTGAAGGTGATAATTCTGCTTGTGTTACTGATTCTGTTCTCACGGTTGTCGTAGATGCTTCTAAGTTTAATTCAAGCATACAATTATCAGCCTCTTCCACTTCAAATTTCAAAGCCTCTAATAATCGTAAGAATTCTTGTGGCCTAAAATATAACATAGTTTTCGACTAGATTGCTGTTGCTGGAAATAATTCATTGAATTTATCACTTTAAGAAAAATTCTGTTCTTATAGGTTATTTATGCTAAAATTCACTTTTATTGAAACATTTTGTAATTCATTGCGTAGTTATTAATATTTTCTATTTTCTAAACTTACTTTCCAATCGTTTTTACAATATAGGTTGTAGAATTTAAAAAATGACAAATTTATTTTTGGTCACACTGCTTAAAAATGTCTTAACAATTCACACATCATTTTTTAATTAGCAGCAGTTAACACTGGTAGAGCGTTACTGGGTTAAGACAAGTAAATTTAAATATAGTATTAATGATGCTAAAATTACCAGCTTTTGTAAGCTAGGAATTTGATTGAACAAGAAGCCGAATTTAAACTTTAAGCAGTAGTATTTACTATAAATGGCATCCCAAATGCATTAAAGAGTGATAACATACGAGAATCATTAACAGTAACTGATATATTTCGGATTTCATTTAATTTAGATGAAACTGAGACAGAGTATTATGTAGTTGCTTAAGTACAGATTTATGTCACAAAAAAAATGTTTTACAATTTGGATTTCTTTTTACAAGGAATGGTTTTAAAAGAATCCACTTATATCTGTATTTTTATTCTGTCTGTTGTGTTAGCGGCATGAATTATGACTGTTGTGAATATTTATTTTATGAGCAATTATTTATGAAGAAACAGAAAGAAATTAGCAAACCCAAAGACATTTGATGTTGTTCCAGCAATACGATTCATTTCAGACTCGAAACCATCAGATCCAACGCTTACCACAAAGATCTGTACATTACCAATCTCACGCAGCTCGTGGGCGTGTTTTATCGGATCATCAGTAGATAATCCATCCGTAAAAAGAACAATGATTTTCCTGGCGTTTGGTCTGAAGTTATTCACTACATGCTACATACGCTTATATCTCTCTACAGGTTGTCTTCTATTTACCCAGTTTTGTTTTTAGATAATTTGATGATTCAAAACAAACTTTAACACATTTTCTTTGTTCTTACTTTTTGCACAAGCAAAGATTGTTGAAGATATTATGTAAAACGTTATTTTGGGAATAAAGATTATTGAGCAATCTGAAGACTATGTAAAGCTACAAACTGAGGATTATAATTTTATATAGTGAAACTGAAGTCATCCAATCAAACTACAGTCAGAGTTTACTAACAAATGAAAACTGTATAAAAATTGTGGACAAAATACACCTTATTTCTTAGTGTAAACTACATGAGAGTTTGTGATAAATTAAGCCACTTAATTAGATCACTTCTTTGTTACTAAGCATGTATGTGGAAAAATTATTGTAAGCCATTATTGTCAAACCTGGCTCCTTTTTCCTCACTGAACAATTCAGCCTTTGCTGTCAAAAGTGCTTTACCAGTCTGGGTACCACCAGATTGAAACTGGATTGCCATGATATGGTCAATAATTTCATGTGCATTTTGATAAGTACCAAGAGAAAATTCAACAGTTGGTGTCTCAGTATACTGAATCAGGGCAACATGCAATTGATCGGTATCAGACATCAAGGCATTAATTATTTGTGTAGTCCAGTTGACATGTTGCATATGAATTTGATCCAAACTTTCGGAAGAATCCAAAAGAAACACCAAGTCTACACCACATCCTTTAACAAAATCCTTTCTCAAAAATGATAGCTCACGTGAGAGTGTAAAAAATATGAATAATGGAGAATTTTTTTTCTGATTAAACAAACAGCATTAGAAAATGTGGATCTCGGGAATGAAATGTTATCAAATACTTGTTGTAGTGGATGTAAAAACATGTTCATCTTCATCTGTGATGACGAATGATTCCTTTGGAGTTTTTGAAATAAATAATGACTCGTCTTCACCAGATCCTTCACCAGATCCTTCAATATTGCTATCCTCACCACGGCAAGAACTAATGAGCAGTAGAAATGAGACAAACCACAAAATCATCATGTTTGTTTACGAGCACCATAATAGTAACTACTTTACATGATCCTTTTATCTACCATGGCTGCCAAATGAGGTTTCCGGGGTAAAAAGTCAAACTGAAACCCGCCCATCCAATATTTCGTCATTAATTCTAAAATGAACAACAAATTCTTACCTAACACACTCGTCCTCAATTTTCCAGCTGAAATTATTACTGTTCTATCAAAATAGGTAATCTTCTTGCAGGTGTTGTTTGCGTAAACATAACCTTTTTGATATGAATACTTGAATAGAAATGAAATGAAATTAAATGAAATGAATAGTTGCAATTTTTTTATCTATCTTTATTTCATTTATATTTTCAATGCAAACTCATTCATTCATACATTTCTGTTTGCTAAAATTATCAAATGCAAATTAAATTACATGAGCAATTAAAACGATTTCCTCTAACAAATATTATCGCTGTCAAGGATAAAGTAGCAGCCAATCGACCTCAGCAAACAATTAAATAAATTGTAGCAAGTAGAATGAAAAATGGCTTTTTGAATTACGAATTTGTCGTATTTGCAAAGTTTGGCCAAATCAGTTTGATTCTTTTTGTGTCATCTAATCCTTCATTTCATCAAAAGTAAAATCAGTCATTTGAGGAATGATGAGATTTGAAGATGATTCTACATGCATCAATAAAAATAAACTAGAAAATTTACTAGTTACTTGATTATATTTCAAATCTGTGATAGAATTTATCAGACTTTTGATCATTAACATGACTTATCAGCAGAATTAAATGAAAGTAACTAATCATGTTACATACAATCAGTATTACTCTTTAGATATGGTATAGATTTTACTGTTGAGAGTATATTTGTTATACAAAGTTCTTCATACAAACTAAAATTTCGGACTAACTTAATAGAACTATACTTTTAAAATTTCAGCATTTCACCAGACCAACAGTTATGTGCAACTAAACCTACATTAAAAAAGTACTCATCCTTTACTACTTGCGCTTTCCACGTACTGAATACTTCCATTTCTCCTGTCATTGTAGATCGTAATAACAAAATGTGCGTGCACATCCTTACTAAACCCTCCACTAATGCCTCCCTTCTTAAGCTTATATCAGTGAGTTCTAGTTAATTAACATTAGTTTCGGCCGATCACATGCGATAACTACCGTACACACTCATATTTGTAACAAAACTAATTCATTTTTCTTATCTCATTGTGTTTTACATCACATAAGCATTTCCAAATTCTGACAACCAAAAAAGTTTAACGTAATTACAACAAGTGTTCTCTCTTTTATTGTACTAAAATCTGAACCAATCATGCATCACATAAAACAAAGAAACAACAAAATTTTGCGAACACATTTTATCAGCACAAAAGATTAGTTTCGTGACTGCCGATAGTTCCAACTGTTCCCTATGTCCTAAATATCGCTAACTTCCATAAATTTTTTTCTTTTTAGACACAATAAACAGAAACAATATGAATATAATCAATCCACTGATATCACATACACATATTGTTCAAGTTCATTACTTCTTTCAACTTACTTTTCCACTAAAGCAGTCATGAATACTTTGAATTAAAAAATCAGGTAAATCACTTCATGCATTATCATTCCTACTACCACATTAACAAAAAAATTTTTTAAAAGAACAAAGTAGGCATTTAAAAAGAAATACAGTACAAAAGATGATAAATATATTGCATATCTGTCTCACCATATTAATACTTCATCACACATCACATAAGTTCTACTGAGATATCGCACAAAACTCATTAAAAATGGTGACAAAATGGAATTAATTTGTATATACGATGGCGAGATAAACTTTTTTAGTAAAAAGCTTCATATCCCGCCTAATAGTATTACTTTATTTGAAGTAAAAATTAAAAACATCTATCGCTTTTATCTTTCTAGTTCTCCTTATTCATATACTAGACATATTACATATAAAAAATACAAATTTTAACATTTCTAAACAACACCTGTCTGTATAAGTCAAACTTTTTTAGGCACTTCAGTACTTTAATCTAGACTTACAACCAAGCGAAAATTGAAATCTTATAATAATGCAGTATTTGAATGAATAATAACTTGAATCACACGCTAATTGTCCAAATCTTCAGAATAGAGTCTTGTCCAGCTGTAATAATTTGATTGCTACTTAGCCAAGCAATTCCATTGATTGAGCTCATAGCATGCGCTCCTGAAAATCGCGTTTCATACTTTCAGAAACGAAGAAGAGTAAGTAATAAACAGAGCTTTCTTCATTAAATACAGAAGTAAAATTGTCACAGAAGTTTCCATGCAAAAAAACTGCAGCAGTATCTCACCTCGGATAATTATTGGATGTTCACCACTATTTTTGACATCCCAAATAATAACATTGGTATCAATGCTTCCAGTTGCAATGAAACGACTGTCTGGTGACCAGGCAGAACAATTCACTCTAGCCGAATGAAATGTCCACTCTTTCTTTGCGACCACAGAATAATTATCAGTTACAGAATAAGGCACTACCTGCAAAAATGAATGAAAAAAGTAAAAGCTAATTTAATTTCAATTAAATAAAAAGTTTTAAATGATAAAGACTTTTCAACCGATTATCAGAGATTTTGTGCTTTCTTCCATCAAAGTGCTTGCTTTAAGTGACACTAAGCAGTACATAGATTTCAATTAAAATTCAATCAAATTCAAATTCAAACGAGGCAAGTACTAGTATCGAGTGCTGAAGAGTGTGTTTCATTATACAAGCAATTACAGAAGTAAAATTGTCACAGAAGTAAGATTATCTACTTCTATACCCAAATACTTCGAAGCTGAATTTTTTAGACAATACTATTTTGCAGAAGTGCATTATAATAATTAACCTTTCTGTTTGCATCCGTTGCGACAAAATAATTACCATCCGGGCTCCATGAGAGCGATGTGACGGTTCCCGTATGAGAGATCGTTTTTATTTCTTTAATTTTATTGTCATTCATAGCATATACATATACTTTACCATCCTGAAAATATACGATGAAGGATAGATCATAATATATGTTTTGTTACCACTTGAAATCAGCATAATCTTTTACCTGGCTCCCGACAACAAAAGACGTCGCATCAGGAGAAATCGAAACACAGGATGCTTCATAGTTAATATTTAACGAAGAAGCCTCTTTACCATTTACAAAAACCACTACTGATTTTACACAAGCAACAACTACAACTTTACCATCTGAGCATGATGACAGTCCCCGTGGTTGGGATGGCAATTTTATTTTATTTGACTGAATGTTGTCTGCAAAAACTAAAAAAGTTAAAGATTTTTTAAATGAAAAGAAAAATTATAAGATAAATGAACAAACCAAATGTAAATCTAATAAAATACAGTAAAATTTCTTCCCTTCGCATAACTTACTGAACGAATCAGACAAGACAGTAAAGGCGATTGAGTCATCCCAACCAACAGATATTAACTCGTTTTTTGGTGTGAAATTCATTGCAGATACCTGAAATTATCTTTAGGTAAACAGGATCGCCGAAACGAAACCACAGTTATTGTAACATCACAGTTTATTATAATTCCATCAACGAGATATATTTAAAATTAGTAGCAACTTCATTTCTAACCTGCGACTTATGAATAGCTGGCACTAATCTGTCTGAAGAGCCTGATTTGAGACCCCAATGCGCTAAAAAAAGAAATAATAGAAAGTTATGTGAATCAGGAATGTAAACTTTAAATTGCTTAGAAAACAATACTGAATGGCTTTTTAATAGTTTCTGGTACGTAAGCTACCAAATCGATTTTAAAAATGATCATAGGTAATCAAACACATGACTTTCATAATGAAATTTTTACCCAATTAATAGAAGTTAGTGCGACAGGTTTGTAAATACTTGAATTTTTCTAAAGAGAATATTTGACGCCATTTCAGAAATACGGTATATGGACAGAAATTAGAACATATACTTTTTCAAGTGGTTTTAAGCTTACTAATATTTCCTTCAAAATCTGCAGTAAAGGCCGACAGTTTTTCTGAACACACTGTCAAAGATGTTATTGGTTTGTTATGTCCTTTAATAACTTTTGACACAGAGCCATTCTCCAAGTCCAAGATATTTATGAAACCTGATAAACTCACTCCAACCAGAAAAACTTTACTCCAAACTACACAAAGTTGTTGGTCATCAACGGCACTTCCAATGACAAAAGTCCTGAAAGCAAATAATTCTGAAACTGATTGCAGATGCAGACTTCGAAATACACAATCATCACTTAAATAACTCACTTTTCCAGTTTCGTTGTCGTAACATCCCAAATTTTTATGGTCTTATCTCCAGATGCTGTAGCAATTTTCCGTCCGTCCGGAGACCAACATATTGCAAAAACGCTACCAGCATGTGCCACTTTATTACATCGATCATCAACAAATTCGCCTTCTTTTTGACCACTAATTCCTTCGTATAACACCACCTGAATTTAAAATTTAACTGTGACTAAGAATGCACAGAGTGAGACATTTCGAAAAAATTAAAGTATAATAAACAAAATGAACTATACCTTCCCATCCGCTCCTGCGCTGGCAAATTGCGTACCGGAAGCATTATAACGGACACAATAAATGAAACGTGCATGCTCGTGAAAAAGCTATAACCAGTTTTTTGAAAACGTATTAGTTAATAAGAAATCAAATTTACACAAAACATTTAAAGTAAAAAAGCGAAATTAAAATTCAAACAATATGCAATCCTTACAGACATGAATTTGAACGGAGGTCCTTCAAAGATTGCCACAGTGTTATCTTCTGAACCGCTCACAAGCCTATAAGGTCTAGTGGGTCGAAAATCAATAGTAGACATTGTACGACTCTGTCCAGAAAGATTTCCATTTGACGTCCCGGTATCAAAGAGAAAAACATGTCCAAATCTAAAATACTAAATGCTAACAGACTCAAAATTTAAAATTGCAAAACATCTCACCAATTTTATCGATTTCTTTTTTATTATTATTTAGGTTTAGGATCAGATAATTACTAACTAATGGGTAAGGAATCTACATGTATAACACCAACAGACCTTTCTCGTCCTTCCCCGACTACTGCTATTCTTTTGCTATCGTCAGACCAGGCAATGTCACGAATGGGACCAGACAAAACTGGATACTCAGATTTCAAAATGTGCGTAGGTTGCGTAGAATCCCATATACGTATTTTTCCAGACTGGTCACCTGATGCAATGTAAAATCCGGATGGAGAATATTTGGCCACAGTGGTGGGACTAGAGTGCTCAGTGTAAACTTCACACTCCTTCAGATTCTGCAACAGAAATATGAAAAAAAAATAGTCAATTTAATTTTAACAAAAATAACCAGGTGAATTACACACATGAAAGGTTGCTCTGAAAACTGCAGGAATATAGACTTTGAAAATCCAAGCTTCAATTTCAAAAATTACGATTTATTCATTATCAAAGCCAATAAAAACTGCAGGCACAAACGGTATTTCAGTTATGTGAAAGAAAAAAACCATAATTTACCTCCATATTGCGAATATAAACGGAATTCCCGTTGCAGTATATTAATTTCTGGCCATCTGGACTTGCACTAACAGATAGTGGCATTCCACGAATAGTACGTGGTAAGGAAGGAAAAATTGCATCTGCAACTGCCAACAGTATAAAAATGTTATCCAATGAGAAAGTCGATAAAACATTTCTAAAATATATCTTGATGATTGTTTTCGAAAACATGAGTGAAGAACCTCTGCATGCGATAAATTCTCTCGGGGCTTATCTCTTTCCAACATTAAGTTAACATTAAACAAAAGTAGCAGTAAAATATGTCAACAGAAAAGGATGGGAAAAGTAGACATATGATCGTAACAAATAACGATAGAGAGATATTTTATTAAAGGATAACCAGTAAACAGGAACTACAGACAAAAGTAAAATATAAAGCAAGTAGGATGAAAAAGGACAACCTAGAGAGTATTCTTCGGTAGACGACATCAAAGCTCTTGCAGCAAATAAAAGTGTTTGCCAATGTCTTGAGCCAGAGAGGTTGCCTTTACTCAATACCTAAAACGATACTAACAGCTGTGTGATTGATTACAAACAAAATGACAAATGAAATATTTCATGGTCGGCACTTGTCTGCTCTTAACTACCAAAATTTGTAAAGATGGAAAGTTACGTCTACACAGTAGTAATAATAATAACAATAACAATAATAATAATAATAGTAATAATAATAACAATAATATTAATAATAATAATAATAAATAATAATACAGGCTAATCTTTCTGTGCAGGATAAGATTTCACAGTTCAAGTATAAAGCTAAAATGCTACAACGGTTGTTTCAGATTGGGAAGAGGCAAAATATTGAAAGCTCGAAATGGAAGTTGTGGACACTGCCTGATGATTAGCAATCATGATTAGAGGTTAAGTAGTTAGTCGATAGATATAGCTCAGTGCTAACAAATCAATCAACCGCCAAAATCTTCAAACCAGGCGGACCATATTCATATTCATATATTTAATGAACAGTAATGTCTCTGTATACTTTTATGACTAGTGTCCATCGTCTGCCTTTTTCAATTCTTTCTTATCTCACTTTTGATTTTGTGTTTACTAAAATTGAAAAGCTGAGAGTAAAATATGAGAAAGTCAAGTGTCAACAGAGCTGCTATCTTTCTAACAAGCATTATAGAGAATAAGTAAAAGTAGGAATGAATATTCAGCCCATATATTTGCTATTTACAAAAAACGATTAAGTATTATTTATCCACGAATGAAATGATCGGTGATTAATATTTGTAGGCACCATTAAATTTTGTATGCAGATGTGCAAATCGCGCAAAAATAACCACTTATTACCGAACTTTCTCATCAGTCATTGCTTACTTTAAATGCAGACAAGTAACAATAATACACAACAAATAGTTAGTAAGTAGCAAGCGTTTGATGTCTGGCTGGGCAAAAACTGCGAATACCATCGAGCTGACGAAAGTAGCTATTGAGATAATGAAAAGAGAAAAGTTACACAGCTGATAAAAATGAGAGTAAACAATAATGAGACCTACTATGTTAGCTAATTCAATTCAATTCAATCCAAATTCAAGTTCAAGTTCAAGTTCAAGCTAGAGTGAGCTTGTTGATGTAATAGAACAAGACTACACATAGCTAGTATAGCACATGTGATACATAAATGCCTTGAAAATTGGAACATAATGCCACGCTAAGCTTATTATCTAAACTCAAAAATGAATGAAATAGTATTAGTCAGTCAAGAAAAGAGCGAGCAGTATGGAACTTGAGGTAGAAGAAAAAGAAAAGAAAGAGAAGAAAATGAAAATAATACAGGAGAATAAGAAGTATGCGCTCATTTTGTCTTCAGCCAGCAGCTGGTCTGAAATATGATTAACATTTTTACGCTAAAATCAATATAACTATTTGCTTGCTATTCTGAATGATATTACGAACAGACATCATTCAAACATGGCTTCTACATTAGCCATTATTCCTGTCAAAAAAAATCGAAAGTCTTAGTGATAGTACTAGCTTAATAGACTATCCGTGACACGTAATCTTATTCATATTCAAAAAAAAAATACTACAAAAAAATTTAATCAATTTACGGGTCAACTTTAGCAAAAGAAATGACACAGCTTTGGTACCTGTAGAATCATTCCAAAAATTTTGATAGAGATTCCATTTTTCATAACGACTCAAAAATTATTCCTCCAAGTACCACTAATGAATTATGTTTGGAACGAAAATCGAAATAAAACTAAGATATTTATTATTCCAAAATAATTGATTGTAAGGATGATAGTGGTATGCATCAACGAGGATATGGTATGCATCAACGAGGATATTAATACATACAGTTGAATTGGCCACATTTTGAACTTGAAAATGATTGCCTTGAATAATAAGCGCATGATAATAAACTAAAGTATTTATCTTCTAGAAGGGTTGGTTTTTAGCAAGCATGAAATAACAAGCAGTGTATTATTCTCATTCAGATTTCACTGATATCAGTTTATATAAAATTTTAATTATTTTTCATTACTATATTTACTGCACAGTCTTTTAAGAAAAATAAATATGACATGTTAAGTGACAAGGACAACGATAAATTTGCATTCAATACTATCCATTGAATAATAACTTATAATTTTATCATGTTTCTTCATGATATGAAAAAAATTGTGCATTAAATTTTGCTTCTTGTGTTTTACTTTTTAAACCCAAAAAGTGAACTTCTCAATGCCTCATATTTGTGCACGCAAAAAACTGGCTTTGCATTACTCAGATTGATATATTCAAATTACTGCATTATAAAGCACAGTTCAATTTTTTATTAGAGGAAGTGCGAATATTTTATGAGAAATATTCAAAAAGAAAGATGAATACTATTGCATTATATATCTTATAAGAATTTCAAGTCATTGCTTGAATCAATACTTCATATTCAAGGATGTTAGTTCTAGCAGACTCATAACTCTTTCAATAATTTCAAGTTATTGAAGTATAGTAAAGAATTTTGACGCTATAAATAATGTAAATCAGTTGCTTATCCCGTCTTCCATGTACCTAGGAAGTAATTATCCTTCATTTTGACACTTTTATTGATAATTTTTTCATACTTAATGGTGAGTTGTAGTGAAATATTTATTAGTTTGAATGCTTTGAATATATTTTTACAACTACTGAGGTAACATTGTTGGAGTTCATTTCACTCTTTGTTGCTTTAAACTATTTGAATAAAAATCGTGAGAAAAAATTCTCAAAATAATTCCTCATCAACTTTTTATGTGTTATAATCTTTAGTTCTATTGAATCCTTGTGTTATAAATCTTACATCTTATTATTTGAGATAAAATCAGTGATTACTCGTATGTTTTAGTATCAAACGTTTGCACAAAATAAAGTGTTCTGGATGCATCTAATAAGTTTTCATTTTTAACATCCTTGAAATGATG